AAGATCACATTTAAACCTTCCAAAGCACACTAAAATATCACATCTAAACCTTCAATTATACACAAAAATATCACCCTATATACACCCTTCAAAAATACACTAAAATATCACATTCAAACCTTCAAAAATACATCAAAATATTGCCTATATACACCTTCAAAAATACACTAAAATATCACATTTAAACCTTCAAAAACACACCAAAATATTACCTATACACCTTCCAAAATACACTAAAATATTACCTATATACACCTTCAAAAATACACTAAAATATCACATTTAAACCTTTAAAAATACACCCAAAAGATCACATTTAAACCTGTCAAAGCACACTAAAATATCACATTTAAACCTTCAATTATACACAAAAATATCACCTATATACACTTTCAAAAATACACTAAAATATCACATTTAAACCTTCAAAAATACACCAAAATATTACCTATATACACCTTCACAAATACACTAAAATATTACCTATATACACCTTCAAAAATACACTAAAATTTCACATTTAAACCTTCAAAAATACACCAAAATATTACCTATACACCTTCAAAAATACACTAAAATATTACCTATACACCTTCAAAAATACACTAAAATATCACATTTAAACCTTCAAAAATACACTAAAATATTACCTATATACACCTTCAAAAATACACTAAAATATTACCTATATACACCTTCAAAAATACACTAAAATATCACATTTAAACCTTCAAAAATACACCAAAATATTACCTATATACACCTTCAAAAATACACTAAAATATCACATTAAAACCTTCAAATATACACTAAAATATTACCTATATACACCTTCAAAAATACACTAAAATATCACATTTAAACCTTCAAAAATATACTAAAATATCACATTTAAATCTTCAAAAATATACTAAAATATTGCATATAAACCTTCAAAAATACACCAAAATATCACATAAACCTTCCGGATAACACAAAAATATCACATTTAAACCTTCAAAAATACACTTAAAAGATACCATACAAACCTTAAAAAATAAACCGAAATAACTCATATTATAAATACAAAATACAGCAAAATATCACATAAACCTTACATAATTAGATTACATATATATCTTAAGAAATACTCATATACTCAAATAGTCATTAAAGAATCATTTTATTCATTGATAGTATAGTTTATTCTCTTACCAAATTGTTTAGATAAATATACAGCAAGAGCTCCTGACTGAGTGTATGTCTTTCCGTCTATTTCTAGCAATGGCAACTTTCCTAATGGTATTTGTACTAAAATGGAACAAATTTAGATGTCAAGTTAAAAAACATTAAATGTGACTAATAGATTAAATTGAAATAACTATACCTGTATTTTTCGCTCCAAATCGCTGTATAATGGACATGGTAACATGATTAAAACTGAACTTGTAGCTTGAGATAAAATTAGGCTTAAGTTAGGTGAGAGTGGTTGTAACAATATATAATTGGAATTACGAAAGCACAGGCTGAGGTGAAAATTCAGCTCAATCAACGACAAAATAAAGTAATAATAATGATAAAATCAAAAAGTATGAAAGGGTTACTGGAGATCGTAGTAGGGTTGAACTTTCCATTCTTTTAAGCACCTCAATTCGTATTAATGAAATTTGAAAAAAGGTTTCCGAGTTACTGGTAGCAAACTTGGCCACATGGCTTCTGTTTGTTTTGCTAACTTTGTCAACTGCTACCGTTGGCATATGGCAAATCAAATTCCAATCTGCCTGAGATATTTGTACCCCTGTATATTCTGCACAAGTCAGCATGTTTCGGACTAATCATTCAACCCTTTGAAGTAGGATCCGCCCATGATTTAAATAACATTACAACAGATATGATATTAATGTTTTCTATTTGGCCTGTAATACATACTTGCCCTATATGTGCCCTGCTTCCAAGATGTATATTCATGAGCGACTTCTTCATATTCTTGACCTCCAATTTTGAACACGAGCTTTACCAATGCTCCTCGATCCCAGACATTAAAACGATGCAGACGATATTTTGTCATGTTAAAGTATGGTGTAAAGATGGTGATATAGCAATCACGTTAACTATAAATAATGCTCACGTCCTAGAAACTGATAATAGATAAGCTGACGCTATAAATACTATACAGTATAACCTTGCTAAGAAGGCCATCATAACATGTATGTATAGGCGATAATTGGCATATACATTATGTGATGGTTTCAAAGTCTGAAAGGAAAGATTGGGATTTAAGAAATAATATTCCAATTCTAAAATGAAGGAGATTAGTTCAATTAGTTTCCAAGCCTGAGAGGTAAGAGATTAGTTTCCAAGTCTGAGAGGTAAGAGATTAGTTTCCCGGTCGGAATGATATTAGTTTCCAAGTCTGAGAGGTAAGAGATTAGTTTCCAAGTCTCTGAGGTAACAAATTAGTTTCCAAGTCTGAGAAGTGAGAAATTAGTTTCCAAGTCTGAGAGGTTAGAGATTAGTTTCCTGGTTGGAGAGATATTAGTTTCCAAGTCTGAGAGATAAGAGATTAGTTCCTGGTCTGAGAGGTGAGAGATTAGTTTCAAGGTCTGAGAGATATTAGTTTCCAAGTCTGAGAGATAAGAGATTAGCTCCTGGTCTGAGAGGTGAGAGATTAGTTTCAAGATCTGAGAGATATTAGTTTCCAAGTCTGAGAGGTGAGAGATTAGTTTCCAAGTGTGAGAGATAAAAGATAGCATCCAATCCTGAGAGGTTAATTTCAAAATCTGTGTTTTTAAGTCTATAAGAGATTAGTTTCCAAGTCTGAGAGATATTAGTTTCCAAGTCTGAGAGATAAGAGATTAGCTCCTGGTCTGAGAGGTGAGAGATTAGTTTCAAGATCTGAGAGATATTAGTTTCCAAGTCTGAGAGGTGAGAGATTAGTTTCAAAGTGTGAGAGATAAAAGATAGCATCCAATCCTGAGAGGTTAATTTCAAAATCTGTGTTTTTAAGTCTATAAGAGATTAGTTTCCAAGTCCTAGAGGTAAGAAATTAGTTTCCAAGTCTATAAGAGACTAGTTTCCAAGTCTGAGAGATACCAGAGATTAATTTCCAAGACTAAGAGGTAAGTGTCCAAGATGGAGAAGAAGTTATTTGTAATGCTAGAAGGTGAGATTAGTTTTCAGTTGTGTGAATTCAAGATATTAAAGAATGAGATGTACAAGAAATCTCTAAGACTGGAAAATCAGATATTTAGTTTCAATTTTTATATAAATTTCACTTTCACCTACTATACATGTCTATAATATTGTAAGTAGATTAACAAATATCACAAAACATATATTCAGGTAACATTTTTAATCAAATATACAGAATAAAAGATTGTATATTATCACAGTTCAATATCACAGTATAAAGATAACAAACAATATAACAATAGGTGCTTAATAATGTAAATTCATAAATAAAAATTGTTATGTTAAATCTTAAATTATTGTTAGATTTAAACAATATGTAAGGACAATCAATGTTTAACAAAACAAAGAAAATCTGCAGTGATATATTACCACTAATTTGTGCATTAAGTAAAATAATCAGTATTTAAAACAGGCTTACTATTGTCTAAGCAAAGAAAAAAGTGTTTTGGATTTTTTCCATTATCTTTATGAGAAATAGTACTGTTTGTCTAAAATGTCTTTGCATTGATAAAAATATTAATATGAGCATACATTATGTCTTTAAAATTTGATTTTACAGAGGACAATTTTCAGCCAAAATTTCTATTTTTTTTTGGGTTGAAATTATAGGAGCGAGACGTGTTTCTTTTCAATGTAAACTTACAAAAAATTATATATTTGTCAACACAAAGACATTCAGACTATCAGTATTATTTTAAGGCTGATATTTCCATCCTTTTAAAAGATATAGACAAAATTCAAAGAACCTTTTGCTTTGCTCAGACAATAGGTTCCTTAACAAAACAATAAAATAAAGCTCTTCTTTATAGCTTATAATGAAATTCACATAATCATAAAACAACCTGAGTGAGTTTGTGAATAATATTTGATTACATATACTGAATTGTATTTTACAAGAAAATGTACATTTTGATTTTGCTCTTAAAAAAACTTTTTCTCCCATCACCATGTATTTAAAGAAAGTAAAATTATTGCATTGGAGTAGTGTATCAGATTTTGTTCTGGCTTTTTATGCTGCCTCGAAATCACTCGTTCCTATTCTTATGCTACCAGTATACCATCCACTACTCGTATCTTGGCTCTATTTTTAGCCTTTCTACAAGTCACGGTTACTATCTGAAAAAAAAATGTATTCATTCATTACAGACAAATAAAAGAATTTTAATTTCAATACAGAAGAAAAAGAACAGAAGTCGATAAGTTGGTACAGGGATCAAAATATTTCAGAGATCAGATCCATGAGACTTATAAAGAGCTCAAAGTAGTGCATTATGACAGTCTCTTTGGGTTTCAATATCACAGAATTCATCCTTCTTTTCAAGAAATGGGATCTACCCAATACACTTTGATTGGATTATATAAACTTCATCAGACACCTGGTTAGAAAGGGATTTCAAAGAGGTTTTTTTTTATTGGTTCCTGCAATTCCACTATAACTAGGTGTTTGATTATGTCACTAAATGCGAAGGTCATCAACAATTTAGTTTTATTGGAATTGCAGGAACCACAGACAACTGATCAAAAATTGGAATTGCTATCAGTGTCCAAAATACACATAAAAAATTTAAGAAACCTTTTTGAGATCCCTTTAATTAATGAAAAATTATATCAAATCAGACTCACTCTTTTGCCAGTATGTGAATCTCCTTGAAAGAGAAATTTAGGATGTTGAACTGCAGCATGAGCTAGGAAAGATTCTCGTAATTCTTGTGATATTGAACTCTGCATAGTCTTATTCTTTAAATGTTCTGAATTTTTCTTAAATAAAAACCAAATATAAACAATTACTATGTGGACTCTCAAAATACCCTTCAGGTATATCACTCTTCATTCTGATTTTTATATGACATCATTTGCTGGGTTACACCAAATGATAGTTGTGGGTTATAAGCTTGGTCTGTTTGATGACCTTGAATAAGTCATATTTTCTCATTTATCTAGTGGATCCAGCTCGTACAAAAGACCAGCTGGTAGACAGGACCCTTATGAAACTAAGTTGTTATCCTTCTGAAAAATGGTTATTTCTTTCAATTTTTGTTGTCTTACTCACCAAATCAGCTAGTTTATATGTCTGTCTATGTTCTTCAACAGGATTAAAGGTATCCAGATCAATTATTACTTGACCTAATGAACAGTTGCCTTCAGTGTTATTATCATCTATTACATGGAGAACAATATATCTAAAATAGACAGGTGTATACCATATATATAACAATCAGAGTGAAATGACATAAAATCATGGTGTTTTGAATTTTTATATTCATAGTCAGTCAGGTCAAAAAGTTATTTTGACAAATGTTTAAGAGGCAAGTCTTTAGACCCTAACTGAAGTGGCTATATTAAAAAAAACTAATAATTAAAAAAACGGAATGAAAGTTTGGTCTAATTTAAAATTAACATAGTTATATATTACTAATATCATGGCATCATGGGTTTTAACAGACACTGGAATATATATGGAATATCTATCCAGATTTCATCAATTGAAAAGGAATAGTTTCAAATCAATACCTGAAGGCAAATTCCTCTTGAGCAACAGAAAAATCAAAACTTTCCTCCCACTTGGGGTCTAAACTATTTTTCATAACCTGAAAACGCAGAAATTGTCTTAATTTCTTTAACCTAACATTCAGCTAATATCTTCTTATAGACCACGATAAAAAAAATTCAAAATATACCAACATCATGATAGGCATAAAGTTTGATAACAGTTCCAGGGACTCTTTTGGAATAAAAATGATTGGTCAATCACTAAAGTTCATTTTATATTAGATTCATGTCTTTCCCTAAAATCTGCATTTAACTGAAGTTAAGATTTTTATTTTAGTAATGACAACTTACTCCAGTAGAATGTACAGTCTTTGTACCTGGTATAGCTACTTTAATAAAAGGGTTAGCGGAGGACTGACCATCAGGGGGAGATAAGCCTATACAGTGATGTATGGTGACTGTAAGTTGATCAGGAAGTTGGTAATTTAAACTAACTTCTACTTCACCTGTTATACTTAAATCAGTCTGAAATAGATAAACATTTAAATCAGATGCTTGATTCATCTATCTCTTGGCTTTTATATGCACATTTTATACTGTCCAAAAGATCAACATGTCTCAAGAGCCAACATGTTTCAAGAGCCAACATGTTTCAAGAGCCAACATGTTTCAAGAGCACACAGGACTCTTCATCAGGAACAAATGGATGCTAATTGACTTGTTAACTAACAATGCAAATAAAAAATATCAGAAAAAAAGAAATAAAAATGAAATTTAGGTTTAATTTGATTGTGGGGTCTTGCATTTCTTCTAAAACTTATCATGTTATGATCAGATATTACTGAAAATTGGAATAATGCAAATTGATGCTATCAGTGTCCCTGATACACATTAAAAAAACTAAACAACCTCTTTACAATCCCTTTTAGCCTTTCATATACTTACACTAGTATTAAGATTATACCAGGCTGTGTGAACAATAGATTTATTAAAATCAAAATCTTGTAGACGTATGATCACTTCACCGAGGAAATCATCTTGAGTGATAGCATCATAATCCCAGACTTGAACTACCAGGTTATTCTCTATTAATTCTATCTCACTTGTTCTAAATTTAAAGATCTCTGAAAAGACTGGATTGTTTTCTTCTACTACTATCTGAGTGACTTGTGAACCTTGACTATAATTATCAGGATACATATCCATCTGTAAAGTAGACATTTTATTATATGCAAAGAAAGTTAAGCAAGCCCACCAAGTTCAGCAAAATGCTTTTATCAAGACACACTAAATTCACATTCACCATGTCACATAAAAAAGCCAAATTTAAATTCAAAGGGACAGATGACCAATCATACTTTAATCTCAGAAACAGAATTTGTTTAGCTAAGCCAATCAGTAATAGTGTTCACAGTTCACCATCAAAATTTGAGCCTTCTTTATAAAAGTGAACTAAGTAAAAATTTTCAAAGATAATTTCTAACTGCCAATAAGTATGAAAATTTGACTAACCTTTACATATGGACTAGATGTCTTAGAGCGAATACCACCACATCTCAATTCTCTACATTTAATAATTTTAACCAATAGAATCTCTTGTCTGACATCATATTTAAATGATATCTGTATTTCACCAGTTACTTCCCCTACTGTTTTTGCCATGCCATATCTGGGATCTAATTTCTTAAATAATCCTTGCAACATCTTCATACTTTGCTGTAAGAAAGTTAATAATTGGTTATAATCTGAGGATTGACTTTTCTTATAGGAATACAATAGTAACAGGCTGAGGATGTCTTCCAATTATGTTCAAAAATGTATCAAACTGTAAAGTTACAGATTTCAATTCCTCAGCTCTGGCTCATGGATAGGACTGAGTATCGATTACCAAATTGTGATCTATTAATAATCGAAATATTTTAAATGAGAAATCTTCTCAATAAAGTCCTTAAAAAGCATGTCCAAATATTTTATGCCATGGCATTTTTTGTGTCAAAGAATTATAATTTATGAATGAACTTGTAGTGCTTCAATCCATTATGACCTTTATTGTTTATTGTGACAGGTACACAAGAGAACTTCAACATTCAATCTACAATGAAATTATATAATCATGATTGAAATCATACATCAAAGAGCCGATAATCAATTATTTTACCCAGTCTGAGCCCTACTCATTAATCAATGTACAATTTTTTACCTTGTCCTGTTCATATTTGTCAGTTAACTCAGCAACAGTAACAGACTTATCTCTAGCTGCTTTGGCCTCTAAAAATCTTGTTAATTTTTCTATTTTAGCTGGATCTTGTGATAATGGTTTAGTGTTAACGGGTTGGTCAACTGTTGAAGGTCCAGTCCCCATCTTATAATCTTATGACAGCAAAAGAGTATATTTCTGAAAAGAGATAGATCTAATTAATAGTGTGTGCTCATGATTACATTTTCATAAACACAAAGGCATTCAAAGACTATTTTGAAGCAGATAATTATATCACTCTCCTTATAGCGATAATCTGTAATTTTCAAAATTCAATTCACCGAACAAAGTAGTAGCTGCTGCTAAGCAAGGACGAAAGGCTAAAAAAGGGGCACTTGTTTTATCCTGAAAATTGGAATTGAGCGACATTTGCCGATACAATTTCCCAAACGAATAGAAATGATTAATATTTGGTAAATAAAACTTCAGTTATACTCACTATTATTGTCCAAAAGAGTGAAAATATCGGAAATTGTTCACTAATAATAATAATTCATTACTTTGGTCGCCATATTGTTTACAATCTGACGTCAGGAAGTTACGTCAGGTCACGTGGAAAATTGTTCAGGATTATCCAGCCACTGTTTTAGATGCTTCCGATTCGCCCCTAAATTATTTCCATTTCGCCCCTTTCCCATATCGGCTCTTACTAATTTGCTTTATCTCATAGTTTCCAGAAACATTCCAAATTCTCCAGTTTCGACACCACCCCTTCCTTTTTAAAACTTAGTCGATATAATAAATTTAAATGCTTTTCAGAGTTATTTCGCAAGATTCTGAAGCTGAAACTTCGATGCCTAGGCAAAATTTCCCAAATTTGGTTTAAAAAACCTAATCTTGTTCAGGCTAATATTATAATCATCTTTCTGTTTCTTTTCTTTTTCTTTCTAAAACCATCTGTTTAAGTCAACAGTGGCGTATTTAGGGGAGGGGCAATGGGCTATGGCCTCCCCTCAGACTCAAAATTCAGATCAGGTCATTTTAAATCCGCTGGGTTCTGGGGACCTCTGGCAGACCCTTGGCCTCAAGGTTGTGATTGAAGTAACAAACCTTGTATCCTGTCACATCAAGACAGACTTTCTGTGCTTACATTCAGTGTTTTTTATAAGAAATTAAGGTTCGCCCACCTATTATTATTGTTTTCATTGTATACAACTATTTCATATTTCATAATTGTTTTCTTTTACAACAATTTCATAATTTAATCCTTTTAAGACACTTGGACATATCACAATGTTTCGTTACACATACAGGTAACGTTCTCAAGGTATAATAACGTTACCTAGATATGTAATGAAACATTGTGCTTAAATAATAAATAGAAGTCTATATATCCATAAAACTGTTGTTTCTCATTTCATAATTGTTTTCATTATACAACTATTTCATAATTGTTTTCATAATACAACTATTACATAACTGTTTTCATTACACAACAATTTCATAATTGTTTTCATTACACAACAATTTCATAATCATATTCGTTACACAACTATTTCATAATTGTTTTCATTAGACAACAATTTCATTTGTTTTCATACAACTATTTCATAATTGTTTTCATACAACTATTTCATGATTGTTTTCATACAACTATTTCATGATTGTTTTCATACAACTATTTCATATTTGTTTTCATTATACAACTATTTCATATTTGTTTTCATTATACAACTATTTTACAATTGCTTTCATTATACAACTATTTCATAATTGTTTTCATAATACAACTATTACATAATTGTGTTCATACAACTATTTCATATTTGTTTTCATTATACAACTATTTTACAATTGTATTGATTACACAACTATTTCATAATTGTTTTCATTATATAACAATTTCATAATTGTTTTCATACAACTATTTCATGATTGTTTTCATACAACTATTTCATATTTGTTTTCATTATACAACTATTTCATATTTGTTTTCATTATACAACTATTTTACAATTGCTTTCATTATACAACTATTTCATAATTGTTTTCATAATACAACTATTACATAATTGTGTTCATACAACTATTTCATATTTGTTTTCATTATACAACTATTTTACAATTGTATTGATTACACAACTATTTCATAATTGTTTTCATTATATAACAATTTCATAATTGTTTTCATACAACTATTTCATGATTGTTTTCATACAACTATTTCATAATTGTTTTCATTATACAACGATTTTACAATTGTTTTCATTACATTACATAGAACTATTTCATAATTGTTTTCCTTTTGCAATGTATTTACACACTCCCAATAAAATAGTTTTTATCCTGAATCCATTTTTAAGAAATTTAAAAATAGAATTTCAATATATTTTTACACCAAAATATGATTGTGTCGGAATGCACCAAATCAATTCAATTTCTTAAAACCTTTTAGAGATGAGAAACTCTATTAGCCCCTCCATTCTTCCTTGTTTTGAATATCTACCCTAACAGTTGTACCCTCATTTATTTTTAATCCCTAGCCCCATGTTCAATGTGTGTTGGTACACAATCATCTCTAATTGTGTAATGGGAACAGGGTAGGTATCACTAAAACAAGGAAAGTTCATCTGTTATGGATTCAATCAAAGAAACTTGATATGAGGATTAATAATATTCTAAACTGCAACAGTGTTGATTGGATATTTTATTGTTTGCATCAATACTTTTCATAATAAAAATTCATAAATAAAAAAAATTATTTTATCATCAAATACCAAGTGGTCACGGGCAGTTTTTAGGAAAAAAATACAAAGATTTGGCTAATGAAGATACGACAGAAGATCCTATAGTTACTGGGCGACCATTTTTTATTTCTCCTTTTTTTATTAAGGCATTCATCTAAAATTAGAAAACAATTGAGAATTATTGTCAATTAAAAGGAATTGTTAAGAGGTTTTTCTAAAATTTTTATCTGTATTAGGGACACTGACTGCATCAATTTGCACAATTCCAATTTTCAATCAGACGTCTTTGGTTCTAGAAATTCCACTATAACTGAATGTTTTATGACATCACTAATCACCTATTCTCCAATAACATAAATCAAGATGATTCAGACATATGATTGGTCAGTCCCTAATATCAATTTTAAATTAGTTTTATAATCCAATCAAATTACTGTATATTTTTTCTATCTTGATGTATGTCAATTAAACTTTCAAGAATAAAGTCACTTGTCCGGAATTTTTTGGATAAAAAATGCTCTTTTTTTGAAAGGGGCAGATTCGCCATTTCCACTGTTGAATATCTTAAATATGTAAATAGTTTTCAGAAGTTCCAGAAATGTACAAAAATCGCATAAATCCTTCAAAAATATCTCATACACAGAATTTCTTTCCCTATTTCTACAGATATCTTTTCTATATGGCAGTGTTTCAAGAAATGACAAGTAATCATATTAATATTCAATCTTGACACTCATGGATACGAAGGCTAAAATTTCGACAGTGAGTTTAACTAAATAATCGCCTTTACTGAGACTAAAGCACAATTGGTCAAACGGATGGCGAACCTGTCCCTTTAAGGATGTGCATTTAATAGACACTAACCTTCAGTGTAAGCTTTCCCAGCTCATTTGAGTAGGAGTAATTTTTATATGCATATACTAAAGCAAGGATAAACATTGAGCCAGAATCACTTTCATCTGGTTTTACCTTGTCTACAAAACAAAGGAACATTGTTTTCTATGAATTTTTTCTTACCAGAGAGATAGATTTTAAAAGGACCTGTACTTTGGTTAAGGAAAGTGAGATAAATAAAAAAAAAACTTCCTTCAAAAAATTGCAAAAATCGAAGTCAACTATGATCTCACAATTATTTATAGCTATACAGTTAAAAAAATATTATGACAATTTCAGAAAAGTGTTATAAAGTAAAAAAAAATCATGTCACCATAAAAACACAAATTCAACATACTCTCAAAATCTGATTTTTACTGTAGCCTATATTGTTTTTTTTTTTCATAAATACTTTTAAAGACAGAGACCTGTTTCTCAAAATATCTATGTTTAACGTACAATCGATGATTTGATGTCCAACGTTTTTCTTCAATTAAAGTGCAAGTTTAGTCATGAAAATATTTGAGAAATGGACCGTCCAGGTAGAAAAACTACATTCAATTTATTATGGTTTTATAAATACCTGAGGTGGCAGAAACACAAAGATACGTGTCTCCCCGTGACGGCATATTTCTTGCTTCTACATCAGAATCTGATGTTTCTGATTGTCCAATCTGTATTTTATTAACTCCTTTTTTCAATGAAATTTCACCTTGTTCTGGTGTACCATCCGTAGAATCCATTCCTTCTAGATCTGAAATATTCATAGATAAATTTCCACATCTTCATAATGTCCAGATAGATTGACATCTTAAGTCTGGCATTTTGCAATTGTGAGAACGATATTAGGACACACCTTTATGGAACAACAATCACTTGAATTTTGATGAAAAAAGAAAAATATTCTTTGAAAATAGAAATCCACTAATTGATGTCAGATATATATATATATGTCCACCAAAATGGTACTACTGTGTATTTACTTGCACAGCATCAAATGGTTCAATCCCTCCTTCTGTGGCAACTTTTGTCAACTGCAATAGCCTGCCCCTTTTTCTATTTTCAACTGTCAATGGGTCTTTAACGTGCACAGCCTGTAACACACTGGTCCTGCGTTTAATTCCCATTCGAAAGACTTGACGCTATTTTCATTGACCTAAGCAAGGTTGTAACCCTGGACATCCAACTCACTGTATAACCACAGCTCCCCCTTATTAATTTTTACAGGAATATAACTTGATGATTGGAAACATACATAAGGTTGACCAAAAATATTTGTCCTCATAAACAACTATGATAAGTATATAATTATACAAACCACGAGGGACAGTTTGAATGAAGAACAGTTTTGGTTTAGTAGAAAGACCTGGACAGGAAGTTGGGTAAAAATAATCGACGATGGACTGGATAGTCATAGACGTGCCATCAGTTCCATATACTTGTTGTCCGTTTTCACCATAAGTCAATACAAACACCACTAAACAATCTACATCTTTCATATCTTTCTGTTTATCTCTATCCAGTCTTTTCTTTAAGTCCTGCATTAAACACCTCAATTATGCGATTTCCGTACATTTCTAGTACCATTTACATAATATTCAAGACTCAAAATGGCACACCTGTCCCTTTAACATATAATATTTAAATTGAACAGGTTATTTACAATGTGTTATCCCCAGTTAATGTGTTAATTTTCAATTTAAAAATCTAGTCATTGGTGAATCAAAAACATAAGTTGGAATACTGAATGTTTTTAAAGCACTTACCTGTACGGTACAGTTTTTGATTATATCAACTGAAAAACGCAATTTTTCAAATAGTGTCATTAAATTTCCAACATCTTTTTCCCAATCTAAATCACATAATCTTGTTACATCATCAAAATTTTCATTACAAATTATCAAACACCGACCTTTAGTGTTCTTATAAACCTACAATAACAGACAAACATAGACCTTTAGTGTTCTTATAAAACTACAATAACAGACAAACATAGACCTTTAGTGTTCTTATAAACCTACAAGAACAGACAAACACAGACCTTTAGTGTTCTTATAAACATACAATAACAGACAAATATAGACCTTTAGTGTTCTTATAAAACTACAATAACAGACAAACATAGACCTTTAGTGTTCTTATAAACCTACAAGAACAGACAAACACAGACCTTTAGTGTTCTTATAAAACTACAATAACAGACAAACATAGACCTTTAGTGTTCTTATAAAACTACAATAACAGACAAACATAGACCTTTAGTGTTCTTATAAACCTACAACAAGAGACAAACATAGACCTTTAGTGTTCTTATAAACCTACAAGAACAGACAAACATAGACCTTTAGTGTTCTTATAAATCTAAAATAACAGACAAACATAGACCTTAAGTGTTCTTATAAACCTACAATAACAGACAAACATAGACCTTCAGTGTTCTTATAAACCTACAATAACAGACAAACAAAGACCTTTAGTGTTCTTATAAACCTACAATAACAGACAAACACAGACCTTTAGTGTTCTTATAAACATACAATAACAGACAAATATAGACCTTTAGTGTTCTTATAAACCTACAATAACAGACAAATATAGACCTTTAGTGTTCTTATAAACCTACAATAACAGACAAACACAGACCTTTAGTGTTCTTATAAACCTACAATAGCAGACAAATATAGACCTTTAGTGTTCTTATAAACCTACAATAACAGACAAATATAGACCTTTAGTGTTCTTATAAACCTACAATAACAGACAAATATAGACCTTTAGTGTTCTTATAAACATACAATAGCAGACAAATATAGACCTTTAGCGTTCTTATAAACCTACAATAACAGACAAATATAGACCTTTAGTGTTCTTATAAACCTACAATAACAGACAAATATAGACCTTTAGTGTTCTTATAAACATACAATAACAGACAAATATAGACCTTTAGCGTTCTTATAAACCTACAATAACAGACAAACATAGACCTTTAGTGTTCTTATAAACCTACAATAGCAGACAAATATAGACCTTTAGTGTTCTTATAAAACTACAATAACAGACAAATATAGACCTTTAGTGTTCTTATAAAACTACAATAACAGACAAATATAGACCTTTAGTGTTCTTATAAACCTACAATAGCAGACAAATATAGACCTTTAGTGTTCTTATAAACCTACAATAACAGACAAACATAGACCTTTAGTGTTCTTATAAATCTAAAATAACAGACAAACATAGACCTTTAGTGTTCTTATAAACCTACAATAGCAGACAAACACAGACCTTTAGTGTTCTTATAAACATACAATAACAGACAAATATAGACCTTTAGTGTTCTTATAAACCTACAATAACAGACAAATATAGACCTTTAGTGTTCTTATAAACCTACAATAACAGACAAACATAGACCTTTAGTGTTCTTATAAACCTACAATAGCAGACAAATATAGACCTTTAGTGTTCTTATAAACCTACAATAACAGACAAACATAGACCTTTAGTGTTCTTATAAATCTACAATAACAGACAAACATAGACCTTTAGTGTTCTTATAAACCTACAATAGCAGACAAACATAGACCTTTAGTGTTCTTATAAACCTACAAGAACAGACAAACATAGACCTTCAGTGTTCTTATAAACCTACAATAGCAGACAAACATAGACCTTTAGTGTTCTTATAAACCTACAATAGCAGACAAACACAGACCTTTAGTGTTCTTATAAACCTACAATAGCAGACAAACATAGACCTTTAGTGTTCTTATAAAACTACAATAGCAGACAAACACAGACCTTTAGTGTTCTTATAAAACTACAATAACAGACAAACATAGACCTTCAGTGTTCTTATTTAATTTTTGATCTTATCCTACTTTTCTGCACCTGATGGACCTAATGATGTTACCTAATAAAGACGGGCAATGTCATTCAGTGGGTAATGAAGGAAATTTTGCCATAAAAAATCATTAACCTACTCTTTTTTGAAACTGTCCTGTGGTCTTTAACATGCACATCTCCCCTCAAAGATAGAGGAGAATGACAATTTAAGAAAATTTCACTTAGTTATTATTCATTAACTTTATAATTTAAGGCAATCAAATTAAAATCAAAGTACAATTTCGCTATCATTTTTTCTTTCATTGGATTCCATTATAATCTTACGAGTTTTAGTGGAATTGCAAGAACCACAGACATAGGTATGAAAATTAGAATGGTGCAAATTGGTGTTGTCAGTGTCCCCGATACACATTTCAAAATTACAATCCCTTTTATTACTACATATATGCATGCAACATTTGACATAGGATGAAACAAAATAATGTTTTGCATTAAGAACGTCTGGATACACTAGACTATTTACCTCATCATTATTCACTTCTAAAGACTTATGGTAATTTGCTGTCATAACTGAATCTGCATCTGAAAATGGGACTACTACTACTTCTTCTTCTTGGTCTGGAGGAAATACTGAAAATAGACAACAAAAATTCCTAAAAACCCAGTTACAAACCTTGCCAATATGACAAGAGGCCTACTGATAATATTTCATAACAACCATTGAATTTTATGGCTTCACCACATGAATCACAATGTTTGCACTGTTAAAATAGTGTTAAATACAATAATTTAATAGAATATAGCCATATATTTATGTAAATAGACTTCAGAAGTACTAGAAATGTACGAACATCACCTGATTCCTCTTAAAGTTCTTAAAATTTTGCTCATAAATTTCATTATGTCTTTTCTATATGTCACAGAGTATCTTAAAATAATGAGTCGTCAATTATAAGACACTATTACTGATTGGCTTAGCTAAAAAAAAATTCCTGATTCTGAGACTAAAATTAAATATGATTTGTCAAATATAATGGCCAAAGATTTATACCAAGGTCACGTACTGGTGATGTTTTAAGCTATTCATAAAAGACAATCACACAACACTTTACTGCCAATTGGAATCACTTTTACCAGCTAGTCTCATAATCTCATTGGTCATATAGCTCTTATTTGTCACAAAGATCGTGATTGTTGAAGTACTATGCTTTAGTACTAGAGTGTCAACTCTTGCGCTCCATATAAGCTACCAGTTGGGAGTACAATAATTTTTCCACTCTTTAAATCTACAAAAATCTAAGTTTTCAATTAGAATACACAAAAAACACACCAAACTGCAAGACATTTTAGAGCTATAATCACAAATTACCTGTGAATCCAGGTAAACAAAATTCAAAATTAATATTTCTTTTCTATAATAAGACTATAATATTCAGAGTTGTGTTCAATGTTAGCACTATTGCCTACCTGCTGGAAGCTCATCTCTGTTGTTTTCAGGATTTGTGACTTGATTTTCCAATCTGCTCCCCACTAAACTGCGATTTATTACATGTGGTTCAATAAATTCTGCTGCTACGTTCTCTTCTGAATCTATCAGAGCTGTGTAAAATTTATCAAATGCTACCTGACCACGTTTTGGTAATAAGTTTAAAAGTTCCCTTATTTTATTCCTTTTAGTAGTTTTTGCCTGAAAGCAATTGATTGTTATATTTTTTAAAATGTCTGTCATGAATAAAGCTTTCTTTCATTGATGTGAGAAATTCTTAAAGGGGGCATATGACATGGCATAATAGTAATATTTTTGAATATCACCAAAATTCTCACTTATCTCTCACAATTGGTTGGAAAAATCCAGAAAAATAGCATGTCTAGCTCATTGAGACACATTAGCAAGCATGTAAAGCTCATTGAGACACATTAGCAAACATGTCTAGCTCATTGAAACACATTAGCAAGCATGTAAAGCTCATTGAGACACATAAGCAAGCATGTCTAGCTCATTGAAACACACTAGCAAGCATGTGTAGCTCATTGAGACAATGGCTAGCTGGATAGCTTATTGAGACACAGTAGCACATGTCTAGCTCATTGAGACACATTAGTAAGCATGTCTATCTCATTGAGACACAATGACTAGCTGTCTAGATCATTGAGACATAGAAGCAAACATGTGAAGCTCATTGAGACACATAAGCAAGCATGACTATCTCATTGAGAAACATTAGCAAACATGTCTAGCTCATTGAAACACATTAGCAAGCATGTAAAGCTCATTGAGACACATTAGCAAACATGTCTAGCTCATTGAAACACATTAGAAAGCATGTAAAGCTCATTGAGACACATAAGCAAGCATGCCTAGCTCATTGAAACACACTAGCAAGCATGTGTAGCTCATTGAGACACACTAGCAAGCATGTCTAGCTCATTGAGAAACAGTTGCAAGCATGTCTAGCTCATAGAGACACAGTAGCAAGCATGTCTAGCTCATTGAGACACAGTAGCAAGCATGTCTAGCTCATAGAGACACAGTAGCAAGCATGTCTAGCTCATAGAGACACAGTAGCAAGCATGTTCTAGCTCATTGAGACACAGTAGTAAGCATGTTGAGCTCATTGAGACACAATAGCAAACATGTCTAGCTCACTGAGACACATTAGCAAGCATATCTAGCTTATTGAGACACAGTAATAAACATGTCTAGTTCATTCAGACACAATGGCAAGTATGTCTAGCCCATTGAGACACAGAAGCAAGCATGTTTGGCTCATTGAAACACCGTAGCAAGCATGTTTAGCTCATTGAGACAAAGGAGTAAGCATGTCTAGCTCATTGAGACACATTACTAAGCATGTGTACCTCATTGAAACATAGTAGTAATTATGTCTAGCTCATTGAGACACAATAGCAAGTATGTCTAGCTCATTGAGACACAATAGCAAGTATGTCTAGCTCATTGAGACACAGTAGTAAGCATGTCTAGCTCATTGAGACACACTACTAGCTCATTGAGACACAGTAGCAAGCATGTCTAGCTCATAGAGAAACAGTAGCAAGCATGTCTAGCTCATTGAGACACATTAGTAAGCATGTTGAGCTCATTGAGACACAATAGCAAGCATGTCTAGCTCATTGAGACACATTAGTAAGCATGTTGAGCTCATTGAGACACAATAGCAAGCATGTCTAGCTCATTGAGACACAGTAATAAACATGTCTAGTTCATTCAGACACAATGGCAAGTATGTCTAGCTCATTGAGACACAATACCAAGTATGTCTAGCTCATTGAGAAAATCTCGATCAGCATAATAACAAATTTGTTTCTAACCATGATTTCTTCCTCCATGTTAGTAGTAATAACTCCAGCTGACAGCAGATTTGATACAACACGATCAATATCTTCTATATTTTCAGTCAACTTTGTAAAATTCTTTTGAATGACCTCACGTTTTTCCCTTGTCATGGCCATTTTGAATACTTTGTTCAAAGCTACAAATCTAAAATTTCTTTTTTCCACTTCTAGTACAACTGAAATGATAAATCATTATGAATAACAATATTTAATGATGGCCACAGTCAAGTCCTGTTCATGGGCCGAATGTTAGACAGGACCAGGTCATTTTCGGTATGGGACCTGATGAAATAAAAAAAATGGAAAAGAAAGTTTGGTCTGATTTTAACTAGATTGATTCAAGACACAAATTGAACCCCGAAAATGGTGAACCATGGAAAATGGTGTTCCAAAACTAGAGGTAACTCATTCTAACTAGCTGCATCACCTGTGACTTATTATGGACGAACCATCTTTGCACATTCATTTGAATTGGAAAATTAACTTATTATTTTGTAAGGATTAAAATAACAGGTTCAAAATAGTACTGACGTTTTAGACTTCATGTTGTTGAAGTTAAAATGTAAACACACTCGCACAATCAGAAGTTAAAATTTGTTTGTTTTACAGATTGTGGCATTTTTTATAACATTTAGCTGTTAATTTTTAACTTTTGTATCAATCAATTTATCGATGAATATGGACAGTTGACCAAGTTATTTTGACGCAAGTAAAACTAATAATAACTGCTACTGTTGATGGTTTGAGTGCAGGAAATAATATTTCCTGTCATTTCTTTACTAGATCTAATAAAGCTCATTTCATTATATATCAAAAAAAGGTTACCTGCTCAAAACATCATAACAGTATTTGTTGAGTAAACCATAACGATACAGATATCATTAACAAATGTATTTTCGAGATCAAATTCTTTCTAACTCAACAGGCATAATTACTCCATTACTCAATCACAAACCGAAAGTAAGACGGACGTCTAAAATACGTTCTTGGATTTTAAAGTTAAACTGCCCGATATGACAAATAGGTCACAAACCAAATCGGACAAAATGAAGATACTATGTTCTCCCAATATTCAATAATACAATTTCGAATCATTTTCTCGAAATGCACAATAGAACTTATGGATTAGATTAATGTTATTCATAATTCTCTTTAATGGCATTTTCAAACCTTGCTATAGTATAAAAGGCTATGAATATTCACGAATATTTCAACAATGTAGCACATAGTAGTACCTACTTCATAATTCCTGGTCTATAAGTTGCCTTGGCCCCAATTTAACCCCTTTGGAGCCATTAGCGATGGTAAGAGTAATATTGGTCTTTCGGCCAGTAAAGACCCTGTGTTGTGCTTTTTCCAACCAATTTGTGTGGAGGGGATGGGCATCTAAGTAATCTTTCATTTCATATGCAGAAATCATATCTTTGGACAAGGTTTCTGGACTAACTTTTAGCGACATTGAAAAAAAGTGTTGGTTCAAGATAACCCTTGGATTAACCCCAGCTAACCAAGGGTTTATCCCAGGTCATAAATGATAACACCAAATTCCATTTAAATTGTATGAAACCTGTAGTCTCCATTGCGTTCACAAAAAAAATTTGACGCGTTTTTTCTAAAGGGCAATAACTCAAACACCGTTCATGTAAAGATCGTCAAAGTCAAACTTGTCCAAGATCTCATCAATATAAATGATCACACCAAATTTCATTAAAATCAGATATAAACTGTAGTCTCTATTGTGTTCACAAACAAATTTTGACGCATTTTTCCTAAGTCAAGAGCAATAACACAAAAACCATTCAACGAAAAATCGTCAAATTCGAACTTGACCAAGATCTCATCAATATAAATGATCGCACCAAATTTCATTCAAATCAGATGAAAACTATAGTCTCTATCGCGTTCACATGCCAATTTTGACGCGTTTTGGCTAAGTCAAGGGCAATAACTCAAAAACCGTTCATCGAAAAATTGTGAATATCGAACTTGTCCAGACGGTGGTGACGATTTATCAAATTTGATATGATATCACAGTGTACTTATTCTGAATTCATTGATTTTTTTTAATTGAAAACAAGGAGTACAAAAAACAAGATAATAAACACTAACAATGAACAATGACAATAGCTTCAAATCTTTAGATGAAAATGAATCTTAATTTAGATAAAATAAAACTCATTATTCAAGTATGGTGCAACAACAAATTACTGATAATAAATCCAGGCAAAACAAATTATTTCTTAAAAAGCACCAAAGGAAAAATGCAATTTATGTCACAAGAAGGATTGTAAATGGGTGTTCTATACTTTTTTTGGCATAAGGGACACTGATATCATCAATTTACACAATTACAATTTTTCAGTCGCATAAAAATCCTCTTTGCAATATGATCTTCATCAAAATGACAAACAATAGTTTGATTTATGTAACGAACGCTGTAGGCCCTACATTTTATATGATTATTATGTGAACAAATAATATTTTTTAAAACTAATTAATCTGTTCATTAAATCTTCAATAATAACAATAACATATCACAATAAAGCCAAGAAAATAAATATTACACACATTAACTGAGTCCAATAGCTGAACTGAATCGGACAATAAAATGACATTTGTATAAAATGTTTTTAAAGAAAAAGTGTAAAGAGTATTTTATTTAAAGGGACATGTTCGCCAACCGTTTCACAAATCGTACCTTACTCTCAATCTAATTTAAGATTTAGTTAATCTTGAGACTGCCATAGACAGAAAATACAGACATATATAGAAATAGTTTGAGGTATTTTGGAACAAATTATGCAATTTCTAGAACATTTCTAGTACTTCTGAAGACTATTTTCATATATTCAAGACCCAAAGCAACCCTCGTAAATGGCGAATCTGTCCCTTTAAAGTATTATAAATAATAATCTACATTATAAATCTTACGGTATTTATCATAATAATACAAGAATAAAACACCCTAGTGAAAAAGCTACGAAAGAAAAATTCTATCTAAAGTTCTATTGTAATAATGTAATTATATCATGTTACTTAAAGTGATACTACAGCTTAGAATGAACACAAAATTTAAGTTCTCGAAATGGTCAATATAAGTATATATATATCAGTGAACTTACCTGGTGTCATAAAGTTACAACAGAATCCCTGTAAAATCTGGAAAATTGCAAAATTTATAAAACTATGTAATTATTGAAAAACGCTTAATCATAATATGAAGCGTTTTTCAATAGTTAATTGCATATTTATAGATAATTACTAAGTTTTTTGGATTTATAGGATTATATAAGGATCCTGTTATGACACCAGGTATATCTACTGGCTCTTATTCGCCAAGTTTAAAATTCTTCAATTTTATGTTAATTCTAAGACGTAGTATCACTTTTAATAGGATCTAATAATATTATTAAACACCAAACACAATGGTTGAATTTGCTGATGGATTTGCTGGTTGTATTTGATTTGGTTGATTTCCAGATTGAGAAACATTAGGTTGGATTTCTAGGGGCAGACCAGGAAAAAAGAACAGACTTTTACCTAATGATGACCTCCATACAGGACATTGTTTTTTACGTTCAATTGTTTCAGCTCTTTGAACTAAATTATTCACCTGGAAATAAATTTCAGTGACAAATTTGAATGTATAAATGGCTCCATGTGTTAACGCTAGAAAACGTTACGCTGGTTGACAGCGTTGGCTGGCGATTGCTACAGGCTTGTGTCCATGCACATACGCGATTTATGTTGCGTTTCCACACTACGTAAAACGCGTCAGTGTAGGCCCTACGCCTGAAAATGACACGGTTTATTTACGCCGCATTGTACTATGTCCACATGAGTATAGATGGAAGTACACTTGCTAGAGAGTAAAGGCTTGTGTCCATATACGCGTTTTCATGAGAAACTCTCAGTGGCGGAGCCAGGTTTACGTCCGATTTTGTATTCAAAATAGGCTTTATCGACGCTGCGTAATACGCTTTTAACCTCCGAAGATGATATCCATCAAAAGTGAATCCAGTGACTCTAGTTTATTGTAGATATAAAGTGCTTTGACTTTAATGTCATTTTCTGATTCGTCCACTAGATGTTTTCCTCTCCGCCTACGCTCATTTGGACATAGTATAAGGCGGCGTATTACGCTGTGTCATTTTCAGGCGTAATCTGACGCGTTTTACGCGTCACAGAGCGTGGCATCTTTTACGACACGCCTATTAGGCGGGCGAAGATAACATTATACCTAGAACAAATTGCAAGATTTTGTTTTTCACCTGAAATGACTTATATACAAATGTAAGAATCTATACACAAAACCAGGTCGATCGGTTGCCATGACAACCATGACTAATTTGCTTAAATCCAAAATGGCCGCCATGGATGCATAAAATCATCAATATCTCTAAAACGATGCACTTTAGATAAAAATAATGTATTAAGTGCAAATAGGAAACCCGACCCCTCTGAGCTCAAAAATCATAACGTCATTGGTCTGTGACGTCACCTTGACGACGCCATGACAGTTTTTACAGAATGCAGTTACCGCTGGTGTTTATAGTTTATTTATCGAAATTATAACATGGATAGTACTAATTGTGTGATTTGTACTGGAGTGATAAAAGAAGGCGAAAAAAGGGCTACTCTGGGAGACAGAGGAGCATGTACAATCAACGAGTTTGCCGTAAAGCGCAAGGGTGGAATCCAAGTGTCTGGTGGAATGACTGTTCATGAGAGGTGCAGAATTGATTTCTGTAATAGACAACAGATGGAGCGTGTACAAAAATGTGTAGATCTGGAACAAGATTGTCCACGTCCACCTAAACGACGCTCACAGGGTGTATTTGACTTTCAAAATCAATGTTTTTTATGTACAACTTCCATCGATACCAAGACAAAGAAAGATCAGTTGTGTTTAGTACGAAGTTTTCATTCCAGAGGATGATTTCCGATATTTGTCATGAAAGAGGAGATGATTGGGGAGTTTCCGTGAAAGGCCGAATTCAAAGTGTGGGTGACTTACATGCTGCGGATGCATGCTACCATTAAATGTGCGATTCTAGTTTCAGAACATGTAGGCAAATACCTTTAAAATATAGAACCTACACCAACATATTGGAAATCAGTGGTCGAAAACAGATTTGTCAAGAGAGTTAGCTTTCCAAGAAGTCATGGAAAATTTTATGGCTAATGAGGACGAACAGAGGTCGGTCGGTGACCTTGTAGAAGAAATGTGAAATCTGATCGAAGACCCATACAGCATCAAATACATGAAAATAAATTTACAGAATACTCTAAAAGACAGTGTAATCATTTCAAATGTAAGTGGACGTGAAGACATAGTTACATTTAAACGAACCGCCACGGAAATTCTTCAGCAGTTTCACAGGAATCAAATTCAAACAGGTAATGAAAACGCAGAGAAACGTAGAATAATGATGGCTAGTGCTGCTTTGATAAAAAGCGAAATCATACAGAAATATGTCAAATTTTCTAAAGAGTATTATCCGGACCCCGATGAACTATGTTCTTTACAGAGAATAAATGATTTCCTGTCGGACCTTCTGCAAATTTTCTTGGATGAGCTCTTTGTTGGTACCGACAAATACCAGAAAATTGCTTCAATCGGCCAATGTATGGTACAAGCCACAAGACCACGCTGCATTACTGCGCCTTTACAAATTGGACTGGCGGTTCAAATGCATCATAATTATGGTTAACGTAGCCTCATAGACAATCTTCACTGTCAAGGGTTCTGTTATTCATATTCTGAAGTGCGATTGTTTGAGAAATATGCAGCTGCACAATCTGGTGACACTTCTTTAGAGTTCGAACAGGGACCTTCATTTCCAGAACTTGATCACATGTGTACACAACAAGAAACGGGAGATACACAGAACGACACGGGGTCAAATGATGGTACTAGTGACGAACAAACATCGTCTCTTGAGCATGTGGTTCAACCTTTGCAGATGGATACCGAGTCTGTCCAAATTTCTATATCTACCGGGGATTCCTTCACATCTGGTCAGTATGTTTCGTCCCAACATTTGACACAAGCTTCTAAACTTTTCGTCAATTTATTGGTAACAATGCTGATCGGAATCCATACACACTGGATGGAAAGCGATCATTCCACGTAATGGGAATTATTGAGACAATCACGCCAGCAGTTCTGAAAAGAGTAACCATTAAACGTCTCACAGGAACAAATTAGCAGCCAGGAGAGAAAGGAACTCTAATATACCTATTCTCTATTACCATGAACATAAAGATATGCCCCTTCATTATCACAAACTTCTTCTCGATACTGAATGGAGATATAATACCGTCTCAGAACTTGCCCTGTTGTGGAAGATCTCGTGGCCGTTGCGTCCGAACAGACCAGGTTGGTCAGGTTTTATGCAAACTGTACACCGCGAACCACATTTTGGTAAATCCACGATAAATTTTTTGCCTTTCATCGATTTAGAACCAACAAATCTCTCCTGTATTTCTTCCACGCTGAAATCCGTGTCGAGACAGTGTCAGAAGTATAGCTGCACTCCGATCATCACATTTGACCAGCCACTCTGCATGGTGGAAGAGCAGGAAGATGATTAACAATGAACCGGCGAGCAGTGATTTGAAGTGCGTTGTTCTTGAACTTGGTGGTTTTCATACAATGACGAGTTTCATCGCTGCAATCGGACATTTAATGATCAATTCTGGTTTAAGTGAGGTCTTGTGTCAAGTTTATGGGGAGAACGCTGTGTTGAAAATGATGAATGGAAAATCTTATGCTCGCACTATTCGTGGATTATTCAGCGTAGATACATGTTTGAATGCGATGCTGCTATCAAGGTGTCGTAATTTAAACCTCACTGACACCGTATGTGACATTGAATTAGATCAAGACCTGAAAGACACAATGCTGTTATTAGATAAGTTACTTAAAGGCGATATACACGTAAATGAAATCACTGCAGCAGACGGCTTAAGAAAAATTGCCACTGATCTGAACAAGGAGAAGTCTCTCTTAAATCACAAAACCTCTGATCTTTGGCTACAAATGATGAGTATGATAGGTTCGTTTTAGAGTATCTAATTGAACATAATCCTTTCGAGTTCTCTGATGAACTCCAAACTCATCAGATGTCACTTTCAATGATATATGTATGTCATATATAAAGTTTCTGCTTAAGTTTCCTAATACTACGGTTGTGTTTGATGGGTACAACGGTCCATCCACGAAAGATGAGGCTCATCTAAGGCGAACAAAGGGCATAATGGCACCGACTATTGTTGGTTTTAGTGGTAAAAAGCCATTGAAGTCTAATAAAGGAACATTCTTAGCAAATGAAACCAACAAAAGGAACTTTATCGATTTATTGATAAATCGGTTACATGAGAATGGTATTGAAACAAAAGTGGCTATAGGTGATGCTGACTTACTGATTGTAAAAACCGCAATTGATTCCAGTCAAAAAGGTGTAACTACTTTGCTTGGCGAATGACATATTAGCACTGTTATGTTATCACTCAAACGTAACAGAAAGTGGCCGACTGTTCTTCCGGTCTGAGGGGAAGAATTCAAGATATAAATGGGATATTGGTACTCTGAGAAACGGACTTGGTGAAGAAATGTGTGAAATCCTACCGTTATTGCATGTGTTAACAGGCTGTAATACAGTTTCAAGAATATTTGAAATCGGCAAAGGTATGGTTCTGAAAAAGGCTGTAAAATCTGAATATTTCCGTAATATATGTAAATTGTTTTTGAAACGAGATTCAACAAAAGCAGAAGTAATGGCAGCTGGTGAAACGGTACTAGTTGCCGTATACGGTGGTCTCAAATACGAAACGCTAAATGAGCTACGGTATCGAAAATTTCGAGAGAAAGTTTATACAAGCAACTCGCAAGTCACCATTGAATGCTTACCACCGACATCAGACTCAGCCAAGTATCACGTAATGAGAGTATATCACCAGGTCCAATGCTGGAAAGATAATCATCTTAGTTCAAACGAGTGGGGATGGACTCTTCTACATCAAAGATACAAGGCTATCAAGATGAAACTACCACCTGCACCGGACAGTTTGCTGCAAATGATAAGATGTAGCTGCAAAGGCGATGTTCATGTAAAAAGAATGGATTAGACTGTACTGGTACATGCTCCGAATGTAAAGGCACAGAATGTTTGAACTCACCAATGGTTACTGAACTATGAGGAATTCGAATTGTAGACAATTTGTATGGAGCATAATATGTCACATTCTTAATTTGTATGTTACTACAGTTTATATTATGGAAATTAATGCAGTATTTATCACCATAACTATTAATGTTTTATGTACTTTTAATGCGTTGACGATTCATAATTTAAGCACACATGTATGTGTGAACGTTTTTGCCCATTTATTAAATGATGACGTCATTATGACGTCACAGACCAACAATGTTGTGATTTTTGAACTCAAAAGGGGTCGATTTCCTACCTGCACTTAATACATTATTTTTACCTATAGGGTGGGTCGTTTCGGAGATATTGACGATGTTATGAATCCATGGCCGCCAATTTGGATTTTAGCTAATAAGACATAGTTGTCATGGTAACCGATCCACCTGGTTTTGTGTATGGGTTCATATACATGTATATAACTTATTTCAGGTGAGAAACAAAATCTTGCAATTTTTTCTGGGTACCCCCTTCTCAGAGCCTATCTTTACCCGCCTATATGTGGACAAGGACCTATTGAAATACTATTTAGGGTTTCTAGGAGTTCTCACGTAGCGTATTACGTATATTTAATGAAAACAAGCCTATCTATACATGTAGATTTATTTCAACGTTTATGCTATTCGCATTCTCTCCGACCATAATATAACTTCACCCTCGAAATATAATATATGAATAATAGAAATTAAGCCTATATGGTGTCACGTGTACTCATCGGACCCTAGGCTTACTCGAGATCAATAGGCCTAGTTTGTTACCGTTCTCTTTGGCACCGAGCTCCTGCTTTATGGATTCCAAGAGAAAACAAGCCTATTTATACATGTAGATTTATTTCAACGTTTATGCTATTCGCATTCTCTCCGACCGTAATATATAACTTCACCCTCGAAATATAATATATAAATAATAGAAATTAAGCCTATGTGATGTCACGTGTACTCATCGTACTATAGGCTTACTCGAGATCAATAGGCCTAGTTTGTTACCGATCTCTTTGGCACCGAGCTCCTGCTTTATGGATTCCAAGAGATTTTCTTTCACGTCTCTGTCGCTGTAGTCATGTGTAGATTTATCCTAGAGTGCAGGTCGTCTCTGTACAGCTTCTATGAGCTTGCCTGTGCAAAATATCCCTTATTGTATACTGCATGGCATTGTCTTAATTAACCCAACACGGGCAGAAAAGTAGGATGTAATTAATTGCACTTCATTTTATTGTATGTGTTGTACAGATTCCTTTTGCATTTAATACAAATTAGACCAGTTTTTTCTTTATTAGCTTTTATTTTTAATATAGCCACTGCAGCTACTTCCGTTTAACTTCGTTCCATTTTTAGTAGCTTTAATTTTCAGGCCACTTCAGTTAAACAAAATTAAAGCTAATAAAAATAATTTTAATTAAACTGTGTACAGATTTCACCCTTTAATTTGTACCTACCCTAGTCATCAGAACAGCTAGTTCACAGCTATGAGCCCAGTATTTAAAGGCATAGACCACAGCTTGTATAAACCACGTTCCAAAGTTTTTATCTCGCCAAGATACAAAACCTGAAATATAATTGATAGAAATATAAAACAGAAAAGTTAAGGCTCGCGTCTTTGTAGGCAGTGATATCTCACTTGAATCTTCATCGTCATTCTTACTTTATTCAGGCCTTTTAGTGGAAATGATAGCCACCCATTGTCACGTTTTGCTAGATAGTAACATTTTAACTGAATTTAGAATGGTAAACTAAATAGGCTAATGATCCAGAAAATTCAACATTTAAACTATTATCCTTCTGTCTAGAAGGTAGGTTTTAAATCCAAACCAACACAACCGGAAATATAGAGTGGTGTAACCTATTTTCGTGCATATAAGGATTCAACACCGAGTTTCGTCAAAGTTAAACAAGTGGTTGCCTTGCAAGATACACCCACTTTCCTGATACATTTTCAGTATATCAAGGGCAGTCACCTATCTGTGTCAAATCATACCAAAAATCTAATTTGCGCAAGATATTGTTGATTTAAACAAACACACATTATTTAATAAAATTCTGACATAAACTGTCACCTCTATCGCTAAGAAATTTTGATGCGTTTTTACTAAGTCATGGGCAATAACTCAAATTCCGTTGATCAAAAAATTGTCAAATTTAATCTTGACTAAGATCTCATCATTATAAATGATCATACAAAATTTAATTTAAATCGGATGAAAACTGTAGTCTCTATTGTGTTCACAAACAAATTTTGACGCGTTTTTCATAAATCAAGGGCAATAACTAAAAAACCATTCATCGAAAGATAGCCAAATTCGAATTTGTCCAAGATCTCATCATTATAAATATTCACACCAAATTTCATTAAAATTGGATGAAAACTGTAGTCTCTGTATGGTGTTCACAAGCCAATTTTGACGCGTTTTGGCTAAGTCAAGGGCAATAACTAAAAAACCGTTCATCGAAAAATTGTGAATATCGAACTTGTCCAAGATCTCATCAATATAAATGATCACACCAAATTTCATTCGAATCAGATGAAAACTGTCGTCTCTATCGCGTCCACAAGCCAATTGTGGACAGACAGACCGACGGACGGACGGACGGACGGACATGGGTGACGACAATATACGTCCACATTATAATGTGGGCCTATAAAAAACGGAAAAATGTCTTAGATGTCTCCTCAGGTATTCTACAGTATAATTAAAATTGGTTTGTTTCGATTTTCTTTATGAATCCCTCACTTTGACCTATATTTCATGAGTAACCAACTCGACAACGGCCACAAAATGCGTCACCTATTTTCGTGTACTATGTTTCATCTATAAATAAGTCAAGAAAAACCCTTTGTATGGATAACCAGTGATATGATTAACTTCTCTTAGTATTTATCTTTAATATCAATTCATTATAACTAATGACAATTCCTTCAAAGAACCATGATTTTAAAAAAAAAATAGTGACTGACAAAATAAGATACGTAGCGTGATTTATTGCTAAAAGTCATTGAAGCAACATAAGAATACGGCCCACATTGTGTTCTATTTTTCTGCTGACACGGAATCACGTGACTTCATTCGTTGGACTTCATTCTAGCAGTTGAAATTCGACACTTGAAATTCCGATTACAACTAGGGGTTATAATGATATTCGACCGATAAAAAATTGTGACGTTTGGTAATAACTGAAATCCGCCATTTTGTATTTGTCAAAGTATATATATATATACGTCAATATTATGGAATCAGTTTTTTTAATTAAACGATTTGTTTCCTTGATCAAAGATATTTTTTTCTTTAAATTTTATGTTTCATTTTTTTAATTTCTGGAGGAGCCCCCATAGAAGTTTGAGCCCGTGGACTTGGTTTACTCTTTGGTAGTTGAGCCACTGAAAGTAATCAATTTTGACTGTCAAAATCAAAATAATGGAGCACACAATAAAACATACCCAATGTAAAAAATCTAATTTATCATGATCACTACAATGTCGTTAGATTTTCAGCGTTATAGAGAATCACGGAATGTTTCTGTCTTTGAAAGGAGAAATGGCTTTTTATTCAATCTTCTTCATTGCTATTTCTTAATTCTTAATTCTAAATTCTTATTCTCTTAATTTGCACGCTTAATTCAACATTTGATATCGAAAATTAATATTTGTTTACAAAATTCATAATTTGTACTGAAAATGAACATTCTTCGATAAACATTCGGTCTTCCAATTATTGAATTAATAGAATTCTTGCCAAAAATATCCTCAAATACATATCTACAAATACAAATCTAGCTGAACATATCTTCAAATGCAAAACGTCAAACACAAAACTCTACTAACAAATGTTCAAATACAAATGTTCAATAGACAAATCTCGCTCAACAAATCTTGCGAAACATTTCTCCAAATACATGTCGAATATATTTGAAGGTCAGGATTATGACGACAGATGTCGATGTACAACCAACATAAAATAAGATATAGACTATAGAAAGCCTCTAGTTCAATTTTCAACCGAATCTTTATCGAAGAATGTTTTTCAGTACAAATTATGATTTTTGTATACAAATGTTAATTTTCAATAACACATGTTGAATTAAGCGTGTAAATTAAGAGATAAGAATTGAAAATTTAGAAATAGCAATGAAGAACATTGAATAAAAAGACATTCCCGCCTTCCATATCTGTCAACATTAACATTTTTTCATTATTACCTGGACATGTTGAAATTGCAACAAACAGATCAGCTCTCGTAGCAGTATTAACGTGTTTTGCATCTGTTGCTTCAGTTGAGACTTTTAAATGTAGATCATCCAACTTTTGAGTGATTACATGAATTAGTTCCTCGTCTTTTTCTGTTATTTTCTGGCTATTTTGTGTTCCCCCATCTTCCACGACTGTTGATGAAATATATGGAATTTTAAATTTGAGATAATGATTCAGTGATAATAATTCAGTGATAATAATTCAGTGATAATAATTCAGTGATAATGATTCAGTGATAATGATTCAGTGATAATGTTTCAGCGATAATGTTTCAGTGATAATAATTCAGTGATAATAATTCAGTGTTCAGTGATGGAAATTTTCAGAGGAAAACATTACAAATTTTCCTTCGTTGCACTTTAAAGTGCATAGCTTGAGCAATATCATTTTGAAAATCCAGACCTTCTGGTTATCGAGTAGGCGATAATGGATTTAAGGATTCACAAAATACATTGAAAAACAAAACTTTATTGTCACAAATGAAAGAAATATGATCAAGACCATATAGTGATAAATGCAGACAGGAAAAAAGTATGTTTCTTTCACACATTTTTAGCCTTTGATGTTTGATAGATGTTTTCCATTGGATTGTGTTCCATATTTTTTGACAGAACGTGTTTTTAAGGGTTCCCTTATTTTTTATTTATTAATATGAAAATGCTAATACTTATATGAACAGAAAGTAGATGTGTTCTAATGACATGCAAAAATACCAGTTAGACTCACATGTCCATTATTAATTCATAATTAGCTAAATTAGAAGAGAACTACCAGCATGAGTGACCGATCAAGAAAGGTCAAAGAGTCTTTTTTTTGGTTTTTCCAGACTATACATACATGGACATTCATGATTGGTTAAAATGTTCTGGCTAATGAACCTGGTATATATTTATAAGTTAAACTAATTTATGACATTGCTATAGGGAAGTTTTAGATTGTATAGCGCTAAACGTATACCTACCTCCCTGACAGGCTTGAATAAAAAACAGTTTAGGTTTGTCACATAAGCTTTTACAGTTACGGGAATCAAAACTGATAACTATTTGCTCGATGCCCACTTCCTTGCCATCAACTCCATACACATTACCATGGGAACCATGAGATAAAACCATCATCACAAAACAATTATAATTGGTGTGATCCATATCTTTATAATGTTTTATCAGGTTGTGTATTTCCTTATGGAATGAGAAATATGTAATGAAATGCTTATGAAGATGGCTTATTATGCAAGGTAACAAAATCCCACTGTCAGATATGTTTAAATTAGAAAATTTCACAGAGAACGAACCATCACCAGTGGCGCATTTAGGGAAGGTGGGGGTATTACTGCCGCGCTCCTGTCAGACCTGTGAAAGGTTTATTTGAAGTGAAAATTAAATCCGATATACACGTTCAAGGCTATCTGAAATTCGCTGGCTTCTGGGGGCCTCTGACAGACTCTCGGCCTAAACGGGCTTCGGCCCTTTCGTTTTCGCGAGGTATAGATCTAACGCGTTTCGAAGACCAAGGCCAAAAACTCATATATAATTTGTCGTATATACGATCGGATTTATGTTGGATGATAATGATAATTTCTCAAAATTCCGTTCAAAATTCAAAAGTGGTTACCCAAGTTGTGGATCCAAGGTCATTGTTATTCGAAGGCGCCCCCCTTTATCAATTTGAGATAATATTATAATCTATTTATATGGGTGTGAATTTAATATCAATTTCAGATAATATTAGATTCTATTTACATGGGTGTGAATTTAATATCAATTTCAGATAATATTACATTCTATTTACAAGGGTGTGAATTTAATATCAATTTCAGATAATATTAGATTCTATTTACATGGGTGTGAATTTAATATCAATTTCAGATAATATTACATTCTATTTACATGGGTATGAATTTATTATCAATTTGAGATAATATTATATTCTATTTACATGGGTGTGAATTAAATATCAATTTGAGATAATATTACATTATTTACATGGGTGTGAATTTATTATCAATTTCAGATAATATTACATTCTATTTACATGGGTGTGAATTTATTCTCAATTTCAGATAATATTATATTCTATTTACATGGGTGTGAATTTATTATCAATTTGAGATAATATTAGATTCTATTTTCATAGATGTGAATTTATAATCAATTTCAGATAATATTAGATTCTATTTACATGGGTGTGAATTTAATATCAATTTCAGATAATATTAGATTCTATTTACATGGGTGTGAATTTAATATCAATTTCAGATAATATTACATTCTTATTACATGGGTGTGAGTTTATTATCAATTTGAGATAATATTACATTCTATTTACATGGGTGTGAATTTATTATCAATTTGAGATAATATTACATTCTATTTACATGGGTGTGAATTTATTATCAATTTGAGATAATATTATATTCTATTTACATGGGTGTGAATTTATTATCAATTTGAGATAATATTACATTCTATTTACATGGGTGTGAATTTATTATCAATTTCAGATAATATTAGATTCTATTTACATGGGTGTGAATTTATTATCAATTTGAGATAATATTACATTCTATTTACATGGGTGTGAATTTATTATCAATTTGAGATAATATTACATTCTATTTACATGCACTGCATTATTGTACCTAAACACATCATAGTCAATGAACAATTCTATTAGTCCTACCTGTGCAGTTTTATTATCGTGAACTGTTATTTGAAAATTTAATTGCTTGAAAAGTTCCTTCAAAGATTCCACATCTTTCTCTGTGCCATATCGTCTAGACTGTTGCTCAAATATCTCATTATTTATCACCACACAGTGTCCACGATTGTTTGAATTCATTTGGTAAATCTGCAATATAGTTCTAGTATATAAATGAATATTACTCCAAACAGCAAATATACGCCCACAGGCAGCTTTGATTTTACATAAAAAAATATTTGGCAGTACAGTAACAATTACCAGTATGAAATATTCAACCTTGAGTCTTTTTTTTTCTGATTTTCAATAGGGTTCATCCTTGAGTGATAACAAACAACCATACCAAGTTTCGTCAAAATCAGTTAAGAATTGTGTTTACGAGCACATGTGGACGGACGGCCGGTTATTATATGGGGCGTTTCATAAATTTCACATGACATAAGCACTCATTAAAGATCCTCTATTTATAACCAGTATTTTATTCATTTCCGAATTTATAGTTTATATGATAGAAAAGCTGAATTAGAGGCGAGTGTTTCGGACAAATCGACCTGTTGATGAGTAACAAACATGGCAAAATAATAATTAGTTTATAAGATAACAAAATTACTCACCTCACTATCAGTCGTACATCTTTTAAACTTTTCATACATTTGGTCACCGTTCATAGCAGTACATTTCCGTACTTTGACAATTTTTGGATCATTTGGGTCAGGAAATACTGTAAATATTGAAAATAATTAATTTCTTCAAATTATGTTATTTAAATCCTTAATAAAATAAGAACGGGTCACAGTTTCAAGTATTTGATCCGAAGAAAACTAAAATACACACCTGATGGTAACTGATGTTCTGTTGTGATTCCAAATGTGCCTCCAAGATAGTTTGCTGCTACGGGCTCGTTACAATCTATTAAAACTTTCCCGAACATATCAAAAGCTGAATCAACTCTCCTTGGTAAAATATTTAACAATTCACGACATTTCTGTATTCTTGTTGGCTTGGACTAAAATTGACAATTTTTTTGAACAAAATAAATTCAACAAACCGTTTCCGGAAATGTACTCAAATGTACTATATGATGGGTAAAATAAAATATTTGATGCCAATGCACATGTGCACAATGTCTTTTAATTCTGATTTATCACACAACAGTACTGTTCCTGGGTTCATAACACTGCAGGTTCATAAAAACTATATAAATTCATAGCACAGGTTAATAGCTATTCAAATAAGGTCTTGTATTCATGCACCATGTAAACAGAATAACATAGCATTTTTGAAGTTGAAGACTCAATTAAAATTGGAGGTAAAGGGCATGAAATTGTTCCAAAATGTACATAACTCTGATTAAAAGTTTCAATTTAGTCATCACATAAAAGTGTTTTCATCTAGACTTATTTGTTACACGCAAGGACATTTTGAAGAATAGTGCAAAAAGGTGGACCCTTAAATGAAGGCTCTATATCGAAAAAAGTGCAAGAATTTAATGAAATTATGTTGATTGTTGTCTGATAAATAGTATCTTTCACGCGTGCTTATGTCATATCAAATTTATGAAATTCGTTGCCGGATTAAATATTTAATCTGGCAACTCATTTCATAAATTTGATATTTCATAAGCACTCGTTTAATATCCTATATGTAATGTTAGCTTCATAATTGTTATGTAAGCTATTGTATAAACAAAGTAAAAAAAAATTGAAATTCTTCAATTAAATGCTTCAAACAAGAAAAGTCAATGATGTAAGCTAATGCTATAAAAACATACAAACATCCACATTTCAATAACTCTAGTTTCACTTAATGTAGAAAAAAACGTTTGTGTTTTAACACATGCCCTTTGATAGATTAATGACCTAACATTTATAGAGGCCCATAGAAATATTTCTAAAATCAGTGTAAATTTGTTTTAAAAGGGGTGACAAAAAATATAGTGTACTGATATTGTAGCAGTTTGATCTAGTTTTGGTGATTGGCTTAATAATTTGCCGCTTGTTTTGTTTAAATCCGCACAGTAGTTTTCTTACTCAAACTAAGGGTTTAACTTTCTATCTGTCTTTTCTATATATAACAGAGTCTCAAGGAAAGTCGTCATTTTATCTTTCGCTAGAGTTCCCGTTTCTGAGTTGCTCAACGAGTCAGATGGCAAATCTATTCTTTTAGGGACGAAACACACCTGTCGAGATCGCCGCGTGAAGAACTTAACTTGGAACTTGGAACTCGTCATAGCGGAAACGTTTGGCCGCAAAACTGACATATCCATATAAAATCAGAGAGATTTTGATCACGTGGCAAAAAGGGGGGTATTATCAACTTTATCAGAGCAAAACCTGTTATTTCTGATCAATCATTGCTACGAAGACATTCTATCTGAAGGAGTAATACACTGTATGATTTAGTTAGCCGCTGTGGAAATTGGTCTGCCACCAGTACGTTTTTTCTTTGTTAACGTGACTTAGAATATCAGCTTCTTAACAACCAAACTGTTAGAATGACTCCCCACCAACCATGAGTAGTGCCCTCTGCACTCAGATTTTCAGATCCCCCCCCCCCCGTCAATAAAATCCTCGCTACACCACTTACCAAAATGTCTTCTTCCATGTACTGTGTGATGACTTCATAATCTGTTAATTTACTCACTATTGAATTAATATCATGTATAGACCTGCAAATATCTTCACGATGTCTCCGTAAAATATCTCGTTTATATTCCTGCATCATTCCTTTTCAAATGGGTATAATGTTATTTAAATAAAAGCAGTACTGTAAAAAATAAAAATTATTGCTATCAATGTTATATTGTGATACCAAATATTTAGCGGTGATACCCCATTGCAAAATAGATCTGTACATTTAAAGGGACAGGTGTGTCATTTAGGGGGGTTGATCTTAGTCTTGAATATAAGTCAATAATCTTCAGAGGTACTAGAAATCACATAATTCCTTAAAAATACTTCAAACTAGTAATTTTACTCACTATTTATATAATTATATTTGTCTTTTCTATATATCACAGAGTCGTCATTTTAACAGTCAAACACAGATAATTCTGGACACAAATTTCGATGGTGAGCTGTGAACACTATTACTGATTAGCTCAAATAAATTCCAGTTCCTGAGACTAAAGTATAATTGGTCAAAAAATGGCCTAACTGACCCTTTAACACTACACCGAGTAAAACTGAACTAACAAATTAAAGATTTTGTTTCAAATTAAAAAAATAGTCAAATATAATTTAAAGAAGGGACAGATGTGTCATTTGTTTTTTGACCAATCATACTTTAGTCACAGAAACAGGAAGCTAAGTCAATCAGTAATAACCATCGAAATTTGAGCCTTCAAATCCATGTGTAAAAAGATAGCTTTCCAGGCAAGGTAATATACGCCCACTGGCAGCTTTGATTTTAAACAAAAATATTTGATAGTACAGTAACAATTACTAGTATAAAATATTCAACCTTCAGGCATACACTTCTTTTGAACTATTTGAATACTGAATAACATTACCAAGTTTCATCAAAATCTGTCAAGAATCTATCGTATTATGCGATTTTCGTACATTTCTAATACTTCTGAATCAACATACTCCCTCCCCCCTCCCTCCCATATAGGCCTATATTTTCTATTATAAAGTAATGTCTAATTTTAGATTTGAAATACTTCCTTAGCCGACATTCAAAATAATATAATGGTCTTAAGTAAAATACAATCTTTAAATCATAATATTTCTATCAACTCAAACATAATTTAACAATATTAAATATATTTTAAAAGTAGCCTAATAAGCTTATTTGAATACATGTGAAAAAGAATGATAATCCGGAGTGAGAGCTTAAATCGTCGATAGCAACCTACCTCAACAAACCGAAATTTAATATACAAAATTTGATCATGGATTATAAAAAGGTTGATCACCTATCAGTCTATTTTTAAACTTGTCACTTGTCACTTTTCAATTTTCAGAGTTGTTTCCCTTGACCCCAAATTACTGTAAGGGATTGTATAGAGTTTTACTACTTTTTATGTGTATCCGGGACACTAATACCATTGATTTGCACAATTCCAATTTTCAGTCAGATGTCTGTGATTCCTGAAAATATAGAAATGCTAAACCCTATATGACGTTGCTAAGGACACATTATTAGCTTAGTTACGGGGGAATTTCATGAAAAGATGTCTGATGCAAATTGATGATATCAATGTGGGCGATGCACAAAAGAATGTTTAGTAAACCTCTTTACATTCCATTATAATATTGTCTTTATAGCCCTAAATGCAAAGTATCTGTACTTCATCAATTATACCATAGGGATAACTATTGCTAGAAGTGACTTATCAGCCAGTTATAGAGAAGTAAACCACATTGAAAGGAAACATTACATTCTCACGAAGAGTTTAAAGCAGTGTTTATTCAAAAGTGAGTATGTAGTCCATTAGCACTAATCACATCAGCGACCCTATCTGACATGCTACGTATCAGTCTTTGAATGTCCTGTTGAGGAATTTGCTGCCACTCCTGATGCAATGCTGCATCCAACTCTGTTACAGTTTGCACAGGAGGGTCTCTACCGGCTACGACGTACCAAAATGTCCCAAAGATGTTCTATTTGATTAAGATCAGATAGCGTGGTAACGGCCTCTTGTTGCATAATCTGAGTTGCCGCTCTGACTCGATGGGATCTGGCATTACCATACATGTACACTGGCCTCATTCGGAGAGGGTGATTGTCAAAAAGCGGAATTACAACAGGAACAAGGATGTTATCACGTTACTTCGCAGCGTTTTATAGTGTACCTGGAACAGTCACTAGGTTTAGTTTGCAACCATAGGAGACACATCCCCATAACATAACAGAACCACCAACACTCTGATACGTTGGTTGGAAATGTGTTGGTGTAAAACGAGTGTTACGTTGTGGCCAAACACGAATTCTGCCACCCGTAGAATGCAGGAGCGTCCTACACTCGTCAGACCGATGGATGCGGTGCCATGATGCCATGTTCAAACGTGCTCTCGCTCTACACCACCTTTAGGGTTCATGAATGTGTCGATCTGTCAATTTAACGCGTCTGATATATCTAGGGGTGTAAGAGTTTGTGATCTGATATATCTAGGGGTGTAAGAGTTTGTGATCTGATATATCTAGGATTGTAAGAGTTTGTGATATGATATATCTGGGGTTGTAAGAGTTTGTGATCTTATATATTTGGGGGGGTAAAGGTTTGTGATCTGATATATCTCGGGTGGTAATAGTTTGTGATCTGATATATCTAGGGTTGTAAGAGTTTGTGATCTGATAAATCTAGGGTTTTAAGTGTTTGTAATCTGATAAATCTAGGGTTGTAAGAGTTTGTGATCTGATATATCTAGGGTTGTAAGAGTTTGTGATCTGATATTATTATCTAGGGTTGTAAGAGTTTGTGATCTTATATATTTGGGATGGTAAAGGTTTGTGATCTGATATATCTCGGGTGGTAATAGTTTGTGATCTGATATATCTCGGGTGGTCAATATTTGTGATCTGATATATCTGGGGTGGTAAATATTTGTGATCTGATATATCTTTGTGATTTGATATATCTGGGGTGGTAAATATTTGTGATCTGATATATCTAGGGTGGTAAGAATTTGTAACCGGATATATCTAGGGTGGTAAAGGTTTGTGATCTGATATATAGTAAATAAAGGTTGGTAAGGGTTTCTGATCAAAGGTTGAAATTAATCCAGTCTTGCGGGTCTATGGTTGGTAAGGGTTTGTGTTGCCTATTAAATTTCGGATGTTTGTAATCTAATAGATTTGGATGGTAAGAAATTATGGTTCATGTCCTGTCTTGTTTGTGGTAGATATGGATGGTAAAGATATGAGCATGCCGGTGTATCAGATCCAGGGTTTACAAGATATATATTTGCATACATGTAGAGTTAGTATATATTATAAATAAAATGGTTTAGAGAACCCAAGGTAAGGTGGTATATATTTTAATGGCTTAACAATAGCACATTCGGCCTCTGATCATTTTCCCATCAGAACTAAATGCTTTTTCCAAGTCAGTCCCTACAACCTGTCTACAGTCTGAGCAAGGGTCCAACTCACTATGCAGTTGGTTCTGGAACTCTACCCTGGTAAGGATATGAACGCTCTTGGCCAAAAGGATGGTAGCTCATGATCTGTTTACGAAGCATTTGGGCTTTGTTTGACTTTTACAGTCATTATTGTGACCCAGCCGTGATTTAACCTTCCAGAAAAATGTGATTAATTTCTCCACTCCAGTATATAAATAAACTTCACTGGCTGTGACTGCTGCACTGTGTAAAGATGTCAAGCCTGGGCCTCTTTCTACAAAACAACATATCATAAAAACTTGAGAATAATTTTGTTTATTTTGTCACAAGCTAAGATAAATTATTCTTTAACATTGGGCTTGTTTCATAAATTATTAACAGTTTGTGTAACTTATCGAAAAAAAGGGGTATTTCAGATAAATTAACAGAATTGATAGTTTTATACGTTTCACACTAGTTGATTATCACTTTCACTGTTAAGTAAATTGGTGGAAACGATATTTACTAATTCACTAGGTCACGAAGAGAGCCATGGATGATGTAACGCTTCAAAAGCAGTTGCTCTTTTATTCTGATCAAATTCCAACATGGGAACTAAAAATTCAGAAAAGGCTTCAGCCTCATCTGGATCCCATTCATATTTCTCTACCAGAACTTCATATAAACTCCATGGCTTTAACTTGGTAATATGTCGCAATTCACCTGCAAGTAGAAACAAATTAAGATTAATACTTGAGACCATCAGAATGAACTGTTTTAGAATTGATAAATCTTAAAAATATGAGAAATTAATACTCCGTTTCCCTAATGGTGGATTATTCATTATTCTGTAGTTCCTGCAATGCCACAAAAAATTAAGGGCTTGTATCACGTAAGGTCCTTAACGCTTAGTTTTTGTGGAATTGCAAGAACCACAGCCCCGATATACATAAAACATTTAGAAAACCTCTTTGAAAAATTCACCCGTTCTTCTTTTTGCTCATGTTCTTCGTGTTCCAAATATTTAAATTCAACCAAATGCAAATTTTACTACAAACAATGGCTTCTAAAAATAACAGGTGTAAAGTAATGTACAGCCTTCCTTTGAGAAAGTAATTCTATGGATGTTGCTAAACTAATCAGAGTAATTATTCACTATGACAATCAGTTAGACCCTCAAGATTCAAATAATTTTTCTCACCTCGTTTGTCGAAATATTCTCTTGAATATTTGCCAGACAGTGCAATATTTCTTGGAATTGAACCGAGAAGTTCGATCACATGAGCCAGATGATCCTCGTCACGACTGTATCCCTCACCAGAATGAGGCTCAAATAAATAATCACCAGTCACTAATTCAAACGCCTGTCAAAATACAATTTTATTCAATTACAGATATGGATGTTTTGATGCTTGTCGTTTCAGCAGGTCACTTCACTAGCCATCTACGATCAGACAAACATGTTCCAAATTTTGAACCAATGGCATCAAAAGTCATCCCAGAATACCTCACATATAATAACGAAATGTTGAATCATTGACTACCAACAAGAATTGCATAACAATTTTGTCAGATCATGGTTAGCAAGTGGAGTAACCCACAGAAACAAGTGCAAAAGGCAAAATCCATATTTGCATTCCACTCACATAAATTGAGAGAAAAACAAATTATAATTCTATCAAACAAATTCAAAATATCAAATATATCATTTATAATTCATTGGCATATCAATAGTCCAGAATTCTCAGACATATAAAAGATATATCGTAAGATAAGGGGAGAGAAACAACACCTCCGCTAGCACCACAGTCGAACATTTAAATAAATACACAAATGGCAAAAACTCTTGTTCATATTCCTTGTTAACTAAAACTTTTGGGTTCATTAATATGCATGATAATGGATATGAAGCCTTTATCTATCTGATGTGTGTAAACCATTGAATACTTACCATACAGGCTGTAGACCAGATATCTGCAGGAGGTCCATAACCAGCACCCACTAAAACTTCTAAACTACGATATTGACGTGTCTGTATATCTTCCGTAAAATGGTGATTCTACAAATAGTCATTTTTACTAAGTCATATCGTACAATATTTCATCACTACCGAGAATGGGTCAATATCAACTTATCGGACTATCTTATGGTTCTGAAATTTCCAACATGGCAACATTAGGGCATATTAAATCATTAAAACCTTGGCGTGCCAACAGGATAAAATCTGACTTATGTATTTAACAACTAGAAGGGTAAAAGGAAAAACTTCTGCTAAAACCCTGTTTGTTTACATTTATTTTGTAATTTTTACTATATTCTCCGTCTGTGCATGATCTGATCAAACATTGGATTCTATTAAAAAAAATTTCAAAAACCAGATTCTGTTTCTGAGCTAAGGAAGTTAAATACACAGATAAATACTTACTGTCCAACAAGCATTACCCAAGTCAGCAATTTTAACTGGAAGATCATAAATATCATACAGAGGATTCTTACTGGAACAACCTACAAACATAAATAATTTATTACATTATACATAGAGAGCTTTTTAAAGCATAATTATTTAAAACACAGCAATTGTGTATGGACAGACTGACCAACAAGCTGACCACCTGACGCTAATTTACCTGTAAAATAAAAAGATAACAATAAAAGAAGCCTATTGTTGAGTACGAGTTAATGCTATTATAGAACCTACACGCACTGGAAGGCTAGGACTACATCTTGGTCACGTGACACGAAAAGTCCGAGCAGTTTGAGTGTGTTAGATCATTCTGTCAGCATGGCTGGTATTGGAAGGTTGGTTTGAGTCGACGGAATCCCAGGGCTCCTTTTTCCCTTGTCCTGTGTAATATATGTATGTAATTTATCCTTGTTCACATCTTGTTCATTAAAGGCATTATTATGTCTTCTAATTATTGTCTTACACTATGAATCCTTTTACATTTTCAAGTGTTCCAGAAATTATAGGTTCAATAAATTTGCCATTAGAAAATTATTGACGAATTTTGAACACAAAGTTATTATCATTGTAAAATTTAGTTGTTTCTATCTTTCATTTATCAATCAGATAAATAGCATTGAATCCCTACAGTACACAATCATAAGATATATTATTACAATGAGAAAATAACACTGGTTTCTTACCCTGTAAACTATTAGTATCACTAGCATTATCACTCTTTTCACTTTTATCAGACGCTAAATTTTCAGCAGATGGCGAATGATCCATTTCCGGATGTTCCTCTTCTTCCTCCACAGTGGGTTTAAAATTAGTTGAATCGTGACCATTACAGACAGGTTTTTCGGGCTCACTTTCATCGGACACATTTAATTTTGCGATGGCCGAAGTTTCACTAAGACTGTTTGTGATCTGCACTTCCACTGTATTAATTTCATTTTTAATCTTTTCTTCTGTATGAATATCACTGTTACCTTCGTCCATGTTTTCACCTTTTTCTTTTTCTTCTTTGACGCCATTTTCTTCAGTGACTGAAACAAAATATAGCAACATAATAAAATATCAATTTAAAGAAATAATGACCATATTCACAATGTCAAACTATTCATCTTAAACCTCAACTGCAATAGCAAGTTTCTTGTGTTACAGACGCCCTACCAAGGCCCTGTGTACAACAGGCTGTGCACGTCAAAGAACCCTCAATAGTTGGAAATCAAAAAAGAGCAAGCTAATGCTGCTGTCCTGGCAAAATTTCCCTCATTGTACCCTTCATGGCGTTGCCCGTCTTCATTAGCCCACATGGTGCAGAAAAGTAAGACGTAAAACTCCATTCATTTCATTGATGTAGAAATATCCTACCTAAAGCATTATTATTCTGCGGTTTGTCATTCTCATTTTCATTCTCATTTTCATTCTCATTTTCTATCACATTTTCGTTATCTGTTGTAACAACAGGGTTGGATTTATCTTCATTTATTTGGTTATCTTGCTCTGGGCTGTGAGCTTCTAGACGGCCGATATTTTCGATGGTCCCATTAGCGAGTGATGTAGTTGGCAGTGTGTCAGGGGAAGATAAGGATGTGGCTGTATGTTCAAGACTATTATTACTACTACTATGAACCACATCCTGTTGATTTTCTTCACCCAGACTGTTAATGCTATCAGAATTTGAGATTTTCTGGAATGAGCATGAAAAGATTACTAGAATTTGTAATTCATTAGAGACATTGCAAAACAACAGAGACTTGGGAGTAGCTTAACATACGAGCTTTAAAAAGTGAATGCTAATATGCAAAAGTCTCCCCAGGGAATGTTGATAATCACACGCCAATTAATCAAAGCATGTCTTGAAACCACTTTGAACATCTCAATAGCATAACATACTCTGTTGTGTCTAATGCTGCAGGCACATCAACAGTCTTGGCCAACGGTTTTTGTTGACAACAAGTCTTGTAAAGTTTCAACCGCTGTGGGCACACGAGGAGAAATAAGTCTCCATCAAGATGATAAAATGTTATCAAGTTGGTTTGATATCATAAATCCTGTCAGCAAAGCGATAATCTTATTGTGGAAGCGCAGGCACACATGACAATTTACTCAAGATTCACATCGGCAACAAAAATCAGTGACAAAGACCGTTTTTGTGCCCGCACCCTAACATGCTCATACAGGATCTTGAATAATCATGTTTTGATGACAATTCTTCTTAATTTGGACATTTAAAGTTTGGCTGCAACATTGCATTCAACTCACCTCTTTATTTCCTAATGCTTCTTCCATCTGCTGTTCATTCATTTCTATCAGTTGTAATTGTTTCTTCATTTTACGTTTTAATTTCTTACGTTTATTTTTGGTCAGTTTGGAGGGATCAATTGGCTTTTCTTTTGGGGCTGTACTCACTAAAATATGAATTTTTTTTTTAGAACAAAGAAGTGAAAACAGACCGACAGTGCTCCTTAAAGGGCAACAATCTGGATTTTTGGGCGTTGATTAAGACTTTGATTATGTATGAACAGTCTTCAGAACCACGATATGTAATCAAGGGAAAATACTATTAAACTTCCATTTTTTTTGCGCTATCTTAAATGGTTTTTCCATACTGGAAACTGGTACATCTTTCAATAAGGTCCAAAATGGCTGAGCAAAACAATCTTTGATTCTGAGAGAAAAGTATGATTGAAGTCAGTTATATGAAAAACTTTCCTCTGACAACAAAAGGAACCTAAAAATTCAAGAAAAGACAAACCTGCAGATCCAGAGAGTTTAGTGCCTGTCTTTTGAGATTCAAATGCTTCAGCTGCTAATCTTTTAACATGAGCTTCATCTACACACATCAGAATATTTTCTGGTTTAATGTCAGTGTGAATTATTTTACATTTCACATGTAAGTAGTGTAAACCTTCCAATACCTGGAATGAAATAGTAATATATGGATGTGTTGATTAAAGATCATTATAAATACAAGGAGAACAAGAGATAAATGTGCTTTCAAGAAAAAGTCAACTTACATAAAGCGAACCAACAAAATTTACTAATTTGTGTAGTTCAAAATTTTGAAAAAACAATTTTTTGAAGAAATCATCATTTTAAGACCTTTGAAATTACATGGTTTAATGATCAGTAAACACTAAAATCAAAACTTCCAACAAAATTATTTAATATAGCTTGCCAGGCAAGGTAACATACGCCCACTAATAGCTTTGATTGTAAGTACAAGTCTTTGTTTGCTGCCCATTCAATTGTAGCCTGTAGAGTGAGCACAAGTTGCACAATATAGCTAATAGAGTAAAACGTCAGTTCAGACACGATATTTCGGTGAAAAATTATTCGATCATCATGAAAATCGATAGGGATCATCTTCATAATGACATTGACACACAATATCAAAAGCATCTGTAAAGAATTGTAGCCTGTAGAGTGAGCACGAGTTGCACAATATAGCCAATAGAGTGAAACGTCAAGTCAGACACGATATTTCGGTTACAATTTTTCTGTCATCACGAAAATCGATGGGGATCATCTTCATAATGACATTGACACACAAAATCAAAATCAAAAAAATCAGTAAAGAATTGTAGCCTGTAGAGTGACAAACTGACAGGGTGATTATAATATACGCCCATCTTATGTATGGGCGTATAAAAATCATTTATTAGAGCATTTATGACCCATAACTACATAGCTACTATAACACATAACACTTACCTGTCTTATTATACATTTAACATTAGCTACAGGAATTCCCTGATAGTTAGAGCGAATTATTAACTTTAATAAATTATTGCCCAGGACTTCAAACACCATACACACATCTGAACATCAACATTAAGGAAATAAAAATTTCAATGCATCCTTGTATAAACCACAACCTTGCACCAATAAACAGATAGAACCTTGCTTGACTTTTAATCCAAATAGCTTTGTATAGGCGATTGATTTAAAAATTGGGAAATCTCTTCTACTTGAGCTAATTATCATTATTTATTGACATGTGAGACAAACTGGTATTTTTGCAAGTCATTAGAACACCTCTACTTTCTATTCATATTGGTATTAGCCTTTTCATTTTCATAAATGAAAATAAGGGAACACATCTTTAAGATCTTTATGTTTTTCTGTGAATGATAAGTTCTAACCATCCAGAGAGTCAATTACTTCCATCTGGAGAATTTAAAGTGGAATAGATTCAGACTAATTGTCCAATATAATCAATGAGTGAACAAAAAGGATACGAGTTCCATTGACTCCAGATATTTTAAAATCATCCAATAATTGAACAGTTTTCTCTCGAAAAGGATCATTTTCATCAGTTTCACGAACCTGCAATACATAATAATATTGTTATAAATGAATATGTATTTCAATAGAGAAAATTTCATCATACTGTAAATAATACTTTAGACAAGGTCTAACAGACGTCAGCATTCAAAAATAAAATGAAGGTAGTTTTACATTCTGCTATTCTTGGCTAATGAAAATAAGCATTGTGCAATGAGGGAAATTTTGCAACAGCATTAGCACTCTTCGAGGATTTTCTACTTTGGAGAGATCATTAAAGTGCTCAGCCTGTAGCACATACGTGGGCCTCAAGTTATTATCCAATTCGAATGACTAGTCTCTTTTACTACGTTAGCCATCTTAACCTTACATCGATGACGTGGGAAAACAGGGTTGAAAAAACCTGGATATTATCTCAACCTGTATACATATATCTTTGGGTTAGCGACCAAGCCTCTGCTTAAACATTCTGAATTAGGCTTGAAATGTTTATGTATGTTTATGATTTTGAATTCCTGTCTTACAGGACAGCTTATGTTGGGCATGGGGAAGTTTTTCGACATTTTGGAAGTTTGAAACAGTTGAGTACAGGTCATTTTAACCGAGATATCAATTTCAAGAATGATTATCTCCCACCTATAATTTGTCACATTTAAATCTTAAGACTACACCACACTTGGAGACATGATAACCATGTATTTGTTTGTGTAGGTCAGCCAAGTTCAAATAAACACCAGACAGACAGAAAGAGAGAGACAGAGACAGAGATTTCCTATAAAACTTAGTAAAATGATGCCCAACAAAATACCTGGCAGATAGAATAATTGGAATGATATTAAAGACAAGAAAACCCCAAATCAGGGGAACTTTTAACAGCTGACCATGGATCTAGAAATATCTTGGGATTCCAATTCAAAGGAATACTGCCTCTTAAATTGAAGAGGTTTAAATTTTCAAACTTGGCCAAAATAAGTCTATTTTCATCAGTGGCCTTACCTAATGTCATTACTATACAACAGAATCCCTCTTTAATCCAATAATTCTATAAAAACTAAGTAATTATTCCTACAGGCATTTTTTAAAATATGCTTCATTTTTTCATGCATTTTCCAATAATAACGTACTGGTGGTTAGTTTTTAAAGATTTATTGGATTAAAGGATTCAGGGATTCTGTTGTAAAGTTATGACACCAGGTAAGTTCACTGATGAATTTATACTCTTATTGACCAAGTTTGAGACATAGACTTTTATGTCCATTCTCAAAGGTAGTATTCCTTTAATTTGACTCATGAAACAGTTGTCCTTTATTCAGAGTATAAACTGTCAATTTCTAGAATATTTCTCATACTTACACATCTTAATAACTTAATTTCATCAACTGCAGTTTCTGTATAATGTTGAGCTGATTTCACTACTTTTAGTGCCACAAATCTTTTCTCTCTGTAAATCACACAAATTAAATACATTTTTACTACTATCATAAAGATTGGGATATCTAAACTATCATCAGGTGCTAGGTATGAGCTATATCGTAAATCATCAAACTTACTATGTTATTTTCATAGAAATAACAGTGAAATACACATTGATCTAAGAGAATCACATAAAATAATTATCACTATATTGATTTCAGAAACAATCACTCAATCAAAATATATTGCATTCATCCTATTTTCATTCATATTTCATTTAAAAATATTCAAATAACAAAGTATAAATAGCTACAAACATAGGAATACTTGATAAGGCCTGGTGATATTGGTTAAAGTGGATATCACAATATCTATATATCACGATATAATAATTTATGGGTATATATCTAAGTGATATTTCTAAAGTATGGTTTTTACTGGTGTATGAAACAATACTTTAATTTTGTTCAATCAAAAAAAATTTTTAAATGAACAAAAAAAAAAAACCACCCAGTCATTAATGGTATGAAAATCACAACTGTTCAACTTAGTTGTAAAATTGTGAAAATGATCAAGACAAAAATTTGAAGTTATCGAATGATGACTGCCATATATCACGATATGACATTTTTTCAGTATATTACTATTATTGTGATACGAGTAAATCACCCAGCACTAATACATGGATAAAAAAAATCTACTTACTGAAGATCCCAACACAACCAAACTGTAGAGAAATGACCCCAACCAAGTTTACGCACTACATGGTAGCGATTATGATGAAATAAATCTCCAGTCTTGACTGGATGGTACCCTCCTGTAAAATAAATTATAAATAAATGAGATCAAGGCTAGCTTGTCATGTGGTTTTATAATAACACTGAACTTTAAAATATAATAAATAAATTACATATATAAATATATCCTGTTTGAATGTTTATATGCCTGAGTCCACATGGTATGTGATATTTAAGTGATTGTAAAGAGGTTTTCTAAATTTTTAATGTGTATCAGGGACACTGATTGCATCGATATGCACATCCACAAAAAAGAATTATTTGATGACGTCACTAATCACAAAATATTGGACTGATGATATCATCAAACACCAAGTTTTAGTTTTTTTTAACCCAAATGTGCCCTTCCAGTCACTGTGTAACTTGTCATTGTCTCTCAGTGATAATACAAAATACTTTGTTTTTGCCAACAGTTCAACCAACCAAAATTATCCACAATGCACTTGAAATTTCTACAACAAATTCATATTGTGTGTGTTTTTTTTAAATGAAAGCAAATTTTATAACAGCCAGAAATACCAGTAGGCCTATGATTAATAACTAGGCAATACAAACTTCGAAAGGACTGAATTTGAATGTATGTAATTAAAAAGATTTGAATTGAAATAGCTTTACAATAGCAATTGATACAAAGGCAATAAAAATTGAGTTTTGAGACTCACTATGAAAGCATTTGTAACTTCACAATGAAAATAATCAGTATGAAATTTTAAGACCAATCCATACTGACAAAATTTGAAAGTTTTATTTCTAGTCATGAAATAGTTGAAATGACATGTTCGCTATCAGTCTGACCAATCAAACCTTAGTCTCAGAAACAGGATTTTTTTTAGCTTAGCTAAATCTTTCAAATCATTGTGTGTCCAGAATTACCCGTATTCGAAAATTAAAAAGACAACTAGTCTAATATAGAAAAAAGACTCAAGCTTAAGCTTATATATAGAAAGAGAAATTCATAGTTTGAGATATTTTTGAAGGAATTGTGTGATTTTCGTATATTTCTTATACTTCTGAAGACCATTTATATTTATTCAAGACCTAAATCAACCCCTAAATGGTGAATCTGTACTGTTACAGAAGTTATTTTCTAATCGAGTTCTTTCCGATATTGGGAAGATGAGATTTGACTGACCAACAGAGAGAAATAGCCAATAAAAACAATATCAAACTAAGATGTTATTATTTCTTGTTGTAACATGTGTAAACAATGATGTCTAATCGACAGGCATTTATTGACAGTAAACAAATATAGGATAGACTCTCTATAAATTGCCATCTCTTCATGTAATCATCAGACAAGCTCAAACAGTAGAATTCAACATGGTTGAAACTTGCTTCATTCAACAAATACCAGTATATACATTCAAAATTTAACTTTCTACACATATCATTCTATAAGTTAAAAACGTCTGCAATCATATAATCCCTTTACTTTCCAGTACCAGTACTGTTAACTTACTCATAATAAGTCAAGACAATGACCCAAAAAGATAAGCTTATCTCTAGCGTGAATAGGTTTCTTAAATCAACCATGCTTACTCTTTTCGAAACACTTGGTTGTACTTCTATACTACCATTTCTCAGGATTTTTGCCATTCTGAACAATGCAGAATAACATAACAAAATTTTATCACAATGAAATTTCTGAATTAAGCTTATAGTCTGTTCAGATATGCAGCAGAACATGGTCAAGAGTTACCCACCTTTACAATAATCTTTAGGATCTTCCTGTTCATCATCATCTGATCCTAAAATTTCTTCATCTTCTTCTTCATCATCATAAATCTCTTCTCTACGTTCATCTCTGTAAAATACAATTATTCACAATTTATAACTCAAAGTTTAAATATCTTTCTTGTTTCATTGACACAGTTCAAAGCTCACCTGTCTCCATTCAAATCAGACTCATTTTCTTGATGTAAAAAGCAGCTTATTGAGAATGATTATATACACAGTACCAACGGTATGAAGGTTCATACAGACAGTTGATGTTCATACAGCCAATTGAGAATGATCATACACCTGTGAATGACCATATGTACAGCCAATTGAGAATAACCATACAACTGAGAATGACCATACAGCCAATTGAGAATGATCATATAACTAAGAATGACCATACAGCCAATTGAGAATGATCATACAACTGTGAATGACCATACAGCCAATTGAGAATGATCATATAACTAAGAATGACCATACAGCCAATTGAGAATGATCATATAACTGAGAATGACCATACAGCCAATTGAAAATGATCACACAACTGAGAATGACCATACAGACAGTTAAGAATGATCATACAACTGAGAATGACCATACAGCCAGTTCAAGAATAATCATACACTAAGAATGACCATACAGTCAATCGAGACTGTTCATACAGACAGCTGAGAATGACCGCGATACAGTAAATTGAGAATGATCATACAAAGTTCTGGGATTCAGAGAATGATCATACAACTGGATATGATCATACAGCCAATTGAGAATGATCAATACAATTGAGAATGACCATACAGCCATGTCAAATTTCTAAAACACATGTGCACATGGATCTTTCCATCACTTGTCTAAAAATACAATAAATAAGATTCACGTTTTCAAGAAAAAAAATGTATAATATCTAATATTCTGACCGATTTGACACATCAGCCGTAAACTAAAATTGATTTTAACAGATTTCACAATTCTTCACACGTTTAAAATTGATTTCCCTGCAACAAACTAATTCCATGCTGATGAAGAAAACCATGTTTTTTTTTGTTAAAAGATTGATGGAGGATGTTTGAATAAAGAGAATGACAAGTTTCTTAATTGGAAAATAGAAATAGATTCAAAATTACTGGCTGGCAATCAGAAACAGACGGGCAAAATAAAACCACCTGATCACCCCATTACTGTAACTTATTCAAACTCTACGTATGTCATTCTAACAATTTAAATAGACCGACTTTATCTTAAGATAGATTTTTTTAATGATCAACCAAAATATCTATTTAAAATCAGACAATGATAAGCTCTGTTGGTTTTCTAATCTCATGTTACTGAAGACTCTTTAAAGGGACAGTATGCAAAATTCTTATTATTTAAATATTGTGAAAACATTTCTAACATTAGCTGTCTAATGTACACTCTACTTACAAAGTAAGAAGTTAAAAGTTTTGGATTTGGGCATTAACAGCTGGATATTATTAGTTAAACCTATAAAGAATAAGTAAGAGACATATTTCTCTACAATTTGGAGTTTATTTTGCTCAAATCCACACAGTGGTTTTTAACACCTACTATTATCATATTTTGCATTCTTAAACTTAGAAGCTAGATACTGGTAGGTAGGTAGATGACAAGTTAGCTAGATACTTTTATTTAATACTTTATATAGGTCTATAATAGTCTCTTGACACCCAGTCTTCTCCTGTCTATGACGAGGATATAGTCTTGGACTTCCATTTTAAGGGAGATAACTACAATTAAGCATATTCAACCTTGTTTACAACCGAAACAAATTCGCAACCCCTAAAAGATGTCAGTATATATGTTAATCAGCGGATGTTATATTTATTGATTTTTCGAGTAAAGAATAATTTTAATCAATGTTTCCCAGCACAAAAATGTCTGTGGATTTACAACCAATCAGATTCAATAGTCACTGTAGACTTGGTCAATTACAAAGATTTAAAGGAACCGTCCAGGTCATCTTTTGACGAAGCTGTAGGCAGACATAGAGGCTATAGATTTTAACAATTTGAGTACATAACTTTTCCAACCTACATGAAAAAACAATCAGACTGCCCCTTTAATATGTTCTGCAAATAAATGCTTCTTCCTCTCAACTCTGTCTAGCTAGACATCATGCAATATTCATATTGTTACATACAAAAAGACCAATGTTATAAATTACATACTGACTGATTTCCCATTGATTGCTAACAAACTTTCTTTATTCACTAGACAACATACATAAAGACTTACGGACTCTAACAATTGTATGAATAAGGTCAAATGTCTGGTCATGGAATTACAAGAATAATAGAAGTCAGAAATCTATCCGAAGGCTCTCTATCACAACACCAATAATCAAATCCCCTATCGTATGTTTAAGTTACTGGTACCTGAAAGTTGCTATATTTGCCTTCGATGGCAGAACAGAGCCCCAAAATATAAGCTTACACCTTTATCAGAATTTAGTTTTGGATTGGAGAAAAACACCAAACAGTTCCAGACCGCTTAAATTCCAATTCCCAAACAATAAAATATTTGTTCCATCCTAGGCCTGTGCATTTGGGAGAATCAAACCCTCTCTTCCCTGATAAAAAATTTCATTATCAAAACTTCATATAAAATTCAGCTTAGTGGCCTAGCAGTGGAAAATTTATAGAAGCTTAAACCACAGACTACCAGAGTTTACAAAAATACTTACACAAATTTTCAAAACATGAAATCAAGGTGCAAATGTATAAAACGATTTTGTTTTTTGACAATAAAGATCATAATATACGTTCAAATCATCCAAATCCATCAAAATCATCCTTTAACCCTCTCTCCTACCAACTAATCTAATGTACAAATAGTTCCAAATAGTTCTCCCTACCTTGATCTCTTAATCTCATAGACAACACACAAACTCGGGCATCCCATTTCCAGTTGATCTTAACTTCCTGTATTATATCTCATAATAATCCATAAACATTGATTTAATTCCTTCCGATATGAAATTTCAGCAAACAAACAAAATTCACCAGAATATTATTCACAATATTTAATAGGATTACAAATAAACAATAATAGAGATTATTCTACATCAAAAGAACCACGTACAAAACTATTCCATTCCATTGATTTTTGCGTTCAGGATATAAATGGCACACAAATTGTATGTTTGTTAATTTAAATTCCATGTAGTAGAACTAGGAAATGATCTAACTAGTCTTTTAACTTGTCGAATTCACAGAGGAATTATCAGGCAGTAAAATACTATTCCGGTACCATTAGAGACAAGGAATTATCAGACAGTAAAATTCTATACCGGTACCGTTAGACAAGGAATTATCAGGCAGTAAAATACTTTTCCGGTACCATTAGACAAGGAATTATCAGGCAGTAAAATTCTATTCCGGTACCATTAGAGACAAGGAATTATCAGGCAGTAAAATACTATTCCGGTATTACCACAATTACACTATTTCTAAATCCATGATTAAGTTGCCACATCACAAAAGATGACTATTCTGAGAATCATAACATTTTCCAAAGATGGTCAAAAGCTACAAACAGAAAGACAAATTCCTCTTAACGCCACAAGGAAGAAATGTAACTGTAGTATTCTTAACTAGCTCCACGCCTTCAATGAATTATTCAACATCAAGTTTGATATCTTTTCCCAGAATATCTAATTCCACCATAAAAACTGTTTAGAACCTGTTTTTATCCCATCAAACTGGGGAAATTCAATAAAATAATATTGACAGTTTCATCATATTGGTAATTTCATTTTACGCCCTAGTTTTATTTTCATGTCTCAAGTTTCTTCCTACACGCAATTATATCTTTTATTCAATTTACTCAAATATTTTTTTTAAGAAAAATATAACTTTTCACATTTCATAATTCAGTTTTAAAGATAGAGTCTAATCATTCCGTTAGACAGGCTTCAATGACCAGACAATAATAATCAACTTGAATGTCTTTTTTACCTTTCCTTTTCTAAAAGTGGAGAGCTGATGTTGACTATTAACATTACCACTAAATTCAGTAATCAAAAAAAACAGTTCTGGCTTTGAAATATTCTAGTAATTCTCAGGAACAATGTCAGGAACAATTTTTTATATCCAAAATTAAAGCAAACATTCAGGCAACATTGAAATTCTTAACTCAGTAGAATAGTTTATTTTCGCTATTAATCCAAATAAATAAATTGATAATGCAATCAACTGTTTCATCCCCGATTCACTACACCAGTAGAATTTCTGATATCAACTACACGAAGGAATTGATCCTGGTCATTATACAGAGTTATTAAGAAAATGGTATCAATGTTAAATATTCAGATCCAGATACAAGGTGGAGTATATTTTTATCATCTCTGTAGAACTAAACAGGTGTTTTTTATCATCAACAAGTAGTGAACTCAACCTTGTTTTTAGGTCATTACAGGTGTATTGCTGGTAGAGTTCACAAAACACTTGCCCATACAGAATTTACCTTAGATATGGAAATTATCAACAAATGTGAAGAATTTCGCGTCCCATAGCCATAGTACATTAGGTCATCTGGTTTAGTTGAAAGAATAACAAAATAAACCTTTGAAATGATGTCTTTGGAGGCAAGCTTAACATATAAAATTTAATGTAGAATTGATACTTGTGGTAAACAAAGGAAGTATTCCAAGCCCACATTTCTGTTCCTTCCTTCCCACAAGTACATTAGGTCCTTTGGTTTAGTTGAAATGATCACACCAAATAAATAAGAAACTATTGAAATGATCTCTTTTGGGTTTTATAAAAATCTTAATCAAGTACTAAATTAATGTGTTAAAGCCAGGGAATTATTCAAACCCAAATTTTACCTAAACAAACAAGCTCTGTTCATTCTCAATATCTGTACATACCATGTACCTGTCTCTCCAATACGAAAGTCTTTTGGTTTGGTTGAACAAACTACACCAAACCAAAAAGGAACCATAATGTAATTAATGCATAACAAAATGAAAGTGGTAAACCAAGGGGATTATTCAGGACAAAAATATTTCCCCAAGAAGACTTCTGTTCATTTTTAATATTTCTACATACCAGGTACCGGTACCAGTACCACATAATGACAGTTTACATGTACCAGGCTTAAGCTTATAACTTACATAAGCTAACATAATGTGTCCCCTGGAGCACCATGAAGAAGGAAATTAATGAATTTCCTACCATTTTAACATTTCAAAAACATAAAAACTCTGCAGGCTTGTTTGTTTCACATTTGAAGGAGGAAATAAAATGGAAATGAGGTAAGAATGTCTGGTAAAAATGTTTATAATTAAAATGTTTTAAAGATGTGGTGGTACTTTCTATAACAATCAACATAATAACAGTAAATCTTAATTAGATTATTTAAACTAGGGTAAGGTAGAATAATCGTGGATATGATTATCATATTTCAAAATCAATTATAAGTCAAAGTTACATTTTGTCCATGTACCTGTTAAGTAGTAATCTCTTCCACCAAGTTTCCCTCAGCACATAACTTAACCACAATAAACTTTAATAACTGATCAAAGCAAGAATATAAGCTTACTTAACTATGACACAAAAAAAACATGAAATTAAGAATTTTGGCATATTTTTTTTCTGTGTTAACAGAGCTTTTCAATTAAAATATTTTGATTATTAATCGATTATTGATTGATAGCATACCGTTAATCAATCTTAATTTGGTAATGTCTTCCCAGCCCCAATCACTACATCAATCTATTACAAGTCATTTAATGGTCAATTTATAGGAAATTAACACATAAATATCAAACAAAACACAAATTCTTAAATAACAGATCTTCAAACTATGAAAGTGCACATTATGTTCTATTAAGACTATACTGTTACCAGATATGTGGTTCAATCAAGATGTATTTTTGGAAATTTCAACCTAGTAACCTCTTCTTATTCAATGTAGGTCAGAGTCAATCGGATAGGACAGTATACCGTGGCCCCACATGCTTCAGGCTGTGCACGTTAAAGATTCTCCGACAATAAGAAATTGAGAAAGAGTAGGATTATGTCGCTATACTGGCAAATCTTTTATTTCATTTCTTGTATTGTTGTACTTATTACCAGTTCATTGCTATACAATCAAGTTCAGTTGAGTCAGGACAACAATTTTTGTGCCGTTGAATTCATGCTCGTTCATTAAAAGTTAAGAATCATCATGATTTGTTTTTAATTATTATGTCTGGCTCTATGGCACCAAAAGAACAGGAAGAATCTTCAGAACTTCCTGAATTTTACTACAGAAACCAGTTTCAGAGTAATTTACAATTGAAAATAATCTTGATAAAGATAGTCTACTTTTAGTAATGACTTCCATACTTTGCAATTATTTAACTATTCTCTATCTCTAATCTTTAACTATCTTTTTTTGTTTCATTTCTCAGCCTTGAGCAGTATCTTTTTTTGATATTATTTACTGTGATAACAATTGTGCCAACTTAAAGGGATAGATGTGGTATTTCCGGATATTGATTTAGATTCCTGTAAATTGTCTTTGGGGTATCCCAAAGTTAAACGTCTTGTTGATATAGTCTTTGACACCAAGACAGGGCTCTGTGAGTAAACGAAGTGGGACTGGATGATTGAGTCTACTGTATACACATGACGTCATCAACGGATATTCAAAATGAAGTCTCTTAAAAACACTTATCATTTCTGACACCGAGGTATGATTTACTCGTGGAAATGCCACACCTGTCTCTTTAAAGAACAAGACTTTGAGGGGTCATTTCCCCTAAACAATTTTGTTTTCATCTGCTGGGGAAAGGGGTGAATAGAATGGGTGTCTTAAAGGAGGACTGTTTGGGGTACCAGTACAATTGAATAAATTTTTTCAACATGGGGTAAAACTTTGACAAGCCCTTACCTCTTATCAATCACCATCGTTGAATATGATTTCCAATCCACTTCTTTCTCACTATATAGTAGCTCTGAGCTTATTCTTAATGTAATTATATTGCAGCTTTAAGCTTATTCCAAATGTAACATGGTAGTTTTAAGCTTATTCCAAATGTAATGATATGGTAGTTTTCAGCTTACTCACAATGCAATTAACACTTTATCCAACCAAAATCCTCTCAGTGAGAAAATAAAAAAGTCTTCACGTTTGATAAGTTTCAACAATAAGCTTATTTCAACTTCACTTAGTTATCCCTTGGTGTTATATTCAAAACATCAAAACTAAATAGAATCCATCCCTTGTGTATTTAAATCACTGTATCAAACACTTTAAAAGATTACTATCAGCGAAATATTTCCCTTTTACACTCAAAATAAAGTATATGTGACAAGCTTGTCTACAGCTTACATCAGTAGGACTCAATATGACTCACAATTATTCTTACAGAAAAAAACACAATATTGCTGTCAGCATCAAAAATACAATTACACAAGTGGATTTGAAAGTCTCTTATCTTGTTTTTATGATTTATTTGAATTGGTCATCACTCAAAAAGCAAAACTTGTCTACAGCTTACATCAGTACGTAGGACTAAATATGACTCACAATTATTTTTACAGCAAAAAACGCAATATTGCTGTCAGCATCAAAAATACATTGTGGAATTGAAATTCTCTTAACTTATTTTTACTATTTATTTGAATTGGTCTTCAATCAAGAAGCAAAACTTGTCTACAGCTTACATCGGTAGGACTAAATATAACTCTCAATTAAGATGAAAACTGTAGTTCTACAAATTTTGACATGTTTTTAATAAATCAAGTGCAATAACTCAAAAATAGTTTATCGAAAAATAGTCAAATACGAACTTGACCAAGATCTATTTATAATAAATGACAACACCAAATTTCATTTCAATCAAATAAATACTGTAGTCTCTATTGTGTTCACAAGCCAATTATGGAAGACCAACAGTGGTGACGGCAATATACAACCACATTATAACATGGGCAATTAAAAACACAACATTGCCGTCAGCATCAAAAATACTACCTGGAATTGACAATCTCCTATCTGCCTTTCACAATTTCTATTCCTTTCAATCTATGATTATTCAAACAGCAAAACAGAATACTCAATCCTCTTGTCAAATTATTTTATTCCTGAACAGGCTTGTTATTTTAAAGATGTAGAAATCGTACACTATGTAAATCATATTCTTAAATACTATCTTGTCAATATTCGGCTTACAATCTTACTGCCTAATACAAAACACTCATAAAACTCTACATAACACAGACTATATTTGACATCTAATTTAATACAAACAAGAGAAGCATATCAATTATTCAAAAGCTGAAATAATCCCTTATTTTTGTCAATCATAAATTATCGTCTGTACTAGATATAGACTGATTCAGTCCACACTCCAAAATTTTGTATCTACTTAAAACAAAATGTCTAGGGTTTAAGTTATTTTGAACACTAAACAAAAATCAATACCAGTAATCTTTCAAAAACTAACATTCTTGATTCCAGTATGTTCACACAAAATGATCACAATCAGTTTTCATACAAATTTTGTTCAATTTAGTGCAAATAGTAAAGCACATCTAGAGAATTGAGATTAACTGTACGCAATGTAAACAAAGTGTAATAATACATTAAATGTGATTAGTCTTGGTTAATATAGTCCCTCACGTAAAACCACCATTCATCAATCGAGTTCTTGTCTTGCTGTAGGAACTATTTTACACTCCACTTTCATTCATACTTATACAAATAGACACTAGTGATGTCATAAACCACCATTCCATCGACCAATCAATAATCAGGTTACAATTCTTACTGTATATTTACGTCACGCCTTCATTATACCTCATTTCAATCCTCTCTTCTTCTATATTCCATGGAATTCATTTTTGGCAACCTCCCAATAAGTACTGTAGATTTTTCTGGTGAATTCTGAAGTAAATGATCTCAAGACTGTATTATATATTGTCTTTCTAGTTTTCCTCCATCAAAAATACGTTAAAATGATTCAAGAGAAAAATTCAAATGAATGTGTCTGTTTCACTTGACAAGAGAACCTGCTAATAATATTAGTCACGGAATATCTGTCAGAAAAATATTAGTGCATCAAAGGCTTCCATGACATCCAAAGTTAAAAAATAATTGAAGAGATTAAAATTTGATCAAATGAACATGTGAAAATTAAACTGAGATAAACTTACATAATAGTGAACATAGAATTCAAGATTCAGTTACCAGTCCTCTTTCATCTACTGTCAAATACAATATTTTAATTGATACTGACCATGTCAATTAGATGCAACTACACGCTTAATCATTTTGACCCTCCTAGATAAGATACTACCCCTGATAGGGCTGGGTAGGGAATACCAAATTGAGATCGATTAACAATAGCAGACTAGCTATCAATAATCGATTAATAATCGAAAACATTTTTATTGAGAAACCCTGTAAATACTAAATTAAAAACATGCCACAATTCTTAATTTTATGGGTGATTTGTGCATCATAGAAGTATATTCTTGCTTTGATCAGTTATTATAATTTATTGTGGGTAAGTTATGTGCTAAAGGGAAACTATGTGGAAGAGATTACAACTTGTAAACAGGAACAGAGAAAATGTAACTTTGACATATAATCTATTATGAAATTTGATAATCGATCAAAATTATAAATTCCTAGCGACCATAATTTCAACTATTTTACCCAGCCCTGACCCCAAAAAGCAGCACCAGAGTTCC